AAGTGTGAGTAAGCTTACCGCTAGTTAAAGTGTTCAAGAGAGTAAGAATGTTTAGCTTGGGCATAGAGGATGTTCGCTGGGGATGCTAGGAATGAGACCCTACCTCCTCGACCTAAGAAATGAAGGGGGAAGTCTCGTGATGTATTAGTCTCCTTGAAGGAGCGATCGATGAAGGTGGAGGAACACCTTGTCGATTTCAAGGAGAGACTCGAGGAGATAGAAGGAGATGATGAGGGGGAGACATTAGGCATGGTAGGCCCACGTGAGGTGGTCTCCAATCTCCAAGCTCGAGTGGAAACGGTTGAGAGGTGTGCCAAAGGGAGCACTGTCGAAAAGGATGCCTTCATGGAATGGACGAAGGAGAGGTTCAAGCAACATCGAGAGTATATGATCGGGTATGAGTAAACTCTTGAACAACTTAGAAAAGATTGAGAAAATTATCGAGAAGCTATCTCGAATGGTGTGGTCTTGAGGGACACGCCAAAAGTTGAAGTGCCAAGACCAAGGCACTATATCGGCAAGCGAGATGCCAAGGAAGTAGACAATTTCTTTTGGCAAGTAAAGCAATATTTCGAGGTAATAGGCTTGACCGAGGATAGAAGTCGTGTCGAGACCGCTACCCTCATCTTTCGGAGGATGTCGCTTTATGGTGGCGTATGAAGCACCAAGAGCTCAAAGAGAGGAATCTAGAGTTGCCTAGTTGGGATGAATTCAAAGAAGCCATGTATGTTCAATTCTACCCCAAGGAAGCTGATTGAGAAGCACGGAACAAGCTACGAACATAGAAGCATACGGGAACTATTCACGATTATGTCCGAGAATATCTTTCTCTTAAACTTCGGGTACGTGGCAAACCCGACTATGATCATATGTATGATTTTATTAAGGGACTTCAGTCATGAGCACAACAAGAGGTGCGAGGTCGATGACCTAAGACCTTCGCCGAAGCTGTGGCCATAGCCGAATCCCTAATTGAATATAACAAAAGGCGGAACCCTTCGAGCCTAAGAAAGACTTCAAAGGTAAATGTGGGGGAGCCTATGAAAAGAAGAGGTATAAAGATGGGCAAGACAAAGCACACAAATCCAAGAGCTTTGTCAAAGAACATGATAAGAAAGAATTCAAGCCCAAGGGTTGCTACTTTTGTAATGGGCCACATCGGTGGAGAGAGTGCTCAAAACGATAAGCCCTCAATGCCTTGATGGAGGAAAAGGAGTGTGCTCTCGAGCATGAGAAGCATTTGGGATTGGTTCGGCTTCTCAATGCCCGTAATGTTAAGCCCTCACCCAAGGTGCCACCAAAGGATGGACTTATGTACGTGGACGTGGACGTGAATGGCAAGGCTGCGCTTGCCATGCTAGACATTGGAGCCACACATAATTTCATGGCCGAGGATGAGGCCAAAGGACTTGGTTTGGTGGTGTCCAATTCATCAAGTAGCATGAAGATCGTGAATGCTTCCTCCAAGCCTACTTATGGCATAGCGCATGGGGTAAGGCTTGGCATAGGCGCATGGAAAGGGACGCTAGATTTCACCATCATCACAATGGACGACTTCGAGGTTGTGCTAGGCATGGAGTTCTTTAAACAAGCGAAAGCCATACCTATACCTCACTTGGAGCAAATGGTGATCATGAAAGAAGAAATGCCATGCATGGTGCCATCCAAGGTGCACGCTAGATCGAACTTAAAGCATCTCTTGACTATGCAAGTAAAGAAGGGCTTCGAGAAAGGAGAAGACACCTACATGGCAACATTGAGAGAAGACGAGATAGTGAATGATGAGGGTACAAAAGTACCCGAAGAGATTGCTAACGTGCCGATCGAATTTGATGATGTGATGCCACCGGAGTTGCCTAATAAGCTGCCACCCAAAAGAAATTGATCACCAAATAGAGTTGGTGTCGGGTGCTAAGCCACCAACCATGGCACCTTATTGGATGAGCCGTCTTGAGTTGGAGGAATTGAGGAAGCGATTAAAGATCAATGTGGTGGCCGATGCATTTAGTAGAAAGGTCGAGCTGCATCACATAACAAATGTGGATGAGGAGATCGTGGCCGGAATCAAGGAAGGAGTGGAGCATGATCCCATCGCTAAGAGTTTATTGAGCCTTGCAAAGGAGGGCAAAACTCGAAAATTTTGAAAGGAGAATGACATTCTCTACACAAAAGGGAGGAGGATTTATGTACCTAAGTGGGGAAACCTTCGACAATATTTGATGAAGGAATGCCATGACTCATGTGGGTTGGACATCCGGGACAACAACGCATTAGAGCCTTCGTTGGAGAGAGCATACTTTTGGCCACAATTGCGTGATGATGTGGAGTCCTATGTGAGAACATGTCCGGTGTGCCGGTAAGATAAAGTTGAAAATCGAGCGTCCGGAGGTCTATTGCAACCTTTGCCTATCGCGGAGAGACCATGGGAGACAATCACCATGGACTACATAATGGCTTTGCCAAAATCGAAGAACTTTGGGAGCATTATCGTAGTCGTGGATAAGTTCTTCAAGTATGCCACTTTCATACCAGCCCCAGCGAGATGTGACGGTCGAGAACACCGCTAAGCTACTCTTCAAACATGTGGTGAAGTGCGGGGCATGCTGCTACACATAATCGAGTGATCGAGATCCTCGATTCACCGGGAAGCTATGGACGGAGTTATTTGAGTTGCTAGGCTTGAAGCTCCATTACTCCAAAAGTTTTCACCCTCGGACGGATGGGCAAACCGAGAAGGTTAACGTCTTGTTGGAGACATACTCGAGGCACTTTGTGAGTGCCAACCGGTGAGATTGGGCTAAGTTGCTAGATGTTGCCCAATTCTCCTATAACTTACAAAATGATGAGTCTACCGGCAAGAGTCCATTTAAGATTACGACGAGCCGGCAACCTCTCACTCCACATACGATGGTGCTTGGTGACAAGTACCAAGGAAGCGACCCGAGTGCATATTCGTTGGCCAAAGAATGACATGAGCGAGCGGACTTGACGTGAATGTATTTAAACAAGGCTGCCAGAAGATGAAGAAGTGGGCGACAAGAGACGAAGAGATGTCACCTTCCAACCCGGTGACAAGGTGATGCTGAAGTTGCTACCACAACAACATAAGGCATTTCGAAAGATGCACAAAGGCCTCATACGACAATATGAAGGACCATTTGAGGTAGTGCACAAGGTGGGAGAGGTGTCCTATCGCCTAGAGTTGCCACCAAGGTTGAAGATCCATCCGGTATTTCATGTTAGTATGCTAAAACCATACCATGTGGACGAGGAGGATCCAAGCCGAGGAGTGTCTCATAGGGCACCAATAACGGTGGTTGACTCTTATGACAAAGAAGTTGATGTCATACTTGATGACCGCATAATCAGTACGTTGTGGAGTGCCATCGAAGAAGGAGTACTATGTGAAATAGAAGGGATTACCCGATAGCTAGGCTAGTTGGGAACCCGCTGAAGCTTTATGGCAATTTGCACGAAAGGTCGAAGAGTATAATGAAGGCGCGCCGAGGACTTCACCGAATTAGGTGGGGGAAAGTGTTACGCTCCGCCTAAAAGAGAGATTTTTCTAGAGATTTTAGAGAACACTAGATAATTCCGGAAGCTTCAGAAGAGTATGGAACAATGAAGAAGCCTCCAGATAAGTCTGGAAGCTTCAGAAGAGTATGGAGCAATGGAGAAGCCTCCAGATAAGTCCGGAAGCTTCTGAAGGGTATGGAGCAAAGGAGAAGCCTCCAGATAAGACCTGGAAGCTTCAGAAGAGTATGGAGCATTGGAGAAGTCTCCAGGATGATGCTGAGAAATCTAGAGAGTCCTCACTAATCTAATATGTACATATCTAGATAGTTCCTTGTAAATATCTAGATAGGATATTTCTAGAGAAACAATTATAGTCATTAGATTAAATAGATCCTAGCCATCAATTGAGGAGGTGGAAGGCTATAAATAGGTGAGGCCTTCACTTGCCAAGACACCTAGATATTCATAAACTTAAGAGAGTGTATCTTTAGAGTTGTAAGCTTTTAGAAAGCAATACAATGAGTAGTTATATCTCTTATGTGTGTCTTTCTTGCTTAGCAACTTTGTGTGAAGAAGGCTGACTTGGTTTGTCTTCGAAGAAGAGAGCAAGTGCGCACATGAGCTTGGGAAAGGCCAAGTCCGTGACATAAAGCTCTCTATTTGATAAAAAAAAGAATAATAAATCATGTTTTTTTAAGTAGAAATTTTGTAAAAAACACACAAAAAAATAGTTGTGATGAAATGAAAAATTAATGAAAAAATTATGAAATTTTAAAATGATTTTATTATATCTACTCGTATTGTTGCGCATAATATTTCAAAAATTAATATTCTCATCGGCATTAAATAATAATTTTTTTCATTTATTAATTTTAGTAAAAGTTTGTTTATTAAGTATAACTTTATTTTTTGAAGTGCAATATTATGAGAATTATATTTTAAAATTTTTATTAATTCTTGATTAATATTTTAATGAAAATTATTATAATTTTTTATTTTAAAATCAATCCATAAAGAAGAATAATTTATGTTTTTTAAGCAACAAATTTTGAAAAAAACATTAGAAAAATTAATTAAATAAAAAATTTTAATTAAAAAATTTTAAAATTTTAAAATGATTTGATTTTATCTGATCGTAGCACAGCGTGAGCAGCTGGCTAGTATATATCAAAAATTCATGGATTTTTGGATTATATAATAAAAAAATTCCTTTAATAAAAAAATTTAGTTATTAATATTCAAACTTTATCTTACTACAAAACAATCCAACAAGATGAAAATGGATGAATTTATTGTTTTATTTCTTCAAGAAAGGTAAAAAAAATATCGGATACTGCCTTGAAGAGTGCTAAAGGGTTAAAGAATCAAAATTCATACAGTTTGGTTTTCGAGAAAGAGACCGGACTCCTAGGTTGGTGCGCATAGAAGAAATAAAAAATAAAAGCCAAAAAACCAGTGTGAGAGAAAGAGAGCGAGATCCAGAAATGGAGGAAGCAAAGGGAGTAGTGAAGCACGTATTCCTGGCAAAGTTTAAAGAAGGAATCTCATCCGATGAAATCGACAAACTCATCAAGGGTTATGCTAATCTTGTCAATCTCATCGAACCTATGAAGGCTTTCCAATGGTAAACAATGTTACTCTACTACATATCCATTTATTTATAATCTCTGTGTTTCGTTTTCCATTGCTGTTTTATTACAAGCATATGTTAGAGGGAATAAACAACAGAGCGGCCGCTTCATGTTTAATGGGTTTCGTGTACTTTTTTTCCCCTTATGATTCTTGTCTATTGGCATTTAGATAAGAGTGTTAATGAATAATTCTGTAGAATGATTTGACTTTGATGATTTTCGTCAAATTTTGAATATAGCTTGAGGTATTATCAATCAAGTATGAAGCTTTTGATCAGGAATTAAAAGACCAAAGTCTTTAAAAGCTGTTGATGTTTTTGTTGATATGAAATATTGGTGTATTTTTTAATGGGTTAAGTGGATCGAAACTCCTTTGAACTTTAATTTATTTAAAAGTGAGTTTCTCAACTTTAAATTTGGTTTTTGAAATTCCTGAATTATTAATCTTTTGAGATTTAGTTCATCTAATAATTTTAAGTTATCATTTTTTTTCTTAAAAAAATCCATTCTATTTTTCAGAAAAATCTCATAATTTTTTAAAATTGAAAAGTATATTTATTTATTTATTAACATTAAAAATTTTAAAAATCAGAAAAAATCAGAAAAATTATCCCTTTTTTTTTTTTTTTCAGAAATACCATATAAATCTTACTAATGATTTCATGATGAATTGAAGGATGAGTTAAATCTCAAAAACTAAATTTGAAGTTTAAAATACTTAATTTCAATTGAATTAAAGTTTACGAAAGGTTTGATCCTTTTAACTTTTTACCGTAATCAATTTATTCTTCCCTGAAATGCTAGCTTTAATGGCTCTAGGCGTCTAGCAACCTGCCAATATCTAAAACTTTTTAGTACTGGTTTAACGTGATACGACAGGGGCACAGATGTGAGCATTGAGAACATGCATCAAGGTTTCACTCATATCTTTGAGTCTACCTTTGAGAGTACGGAGGGCATTGCAGAGTACTTAAGCCATCCTGCTCATCTTGATTTTGTTGCCCTCTTGTTCCCTGCTTTGGACAAAGTAATTGTGTTTGACTACAAGCCCATCTCCTATATTGTTTAAGAGTTACTGGCATCTACCATTCTGCTGTTGTATTATCAAAAATATATGCAGACCATCTTGTTGTTGTGGTCTTGAGAACGGAAAAATTTGGTAAGGATTTCATCTTTGTTCTGTTTCGTGGAGGAATGCAATAGTATTCTAGTACATGGTGTTGACTGTTGAACCTTTATAGTTATGTGTATTTCCTCATCTAAATATGAGTATTTAGTTATTGAGTATCATGAAATTTCTCCTTGAAGTCTGCTTTTATATTTGGTTTTAATTTCTTAAAGTGTTGCCTGTCATGTTGATTTAACCATATGTGATCTCTGCTCAGTAATTTATCAGTTCATGACAATGGCGTATTAACTATCGTCTCAAATGTTTGTTGGGCACTTACAAGCTATAATATCATTCCCGTCTGAACTTGACATCTAATTGCACACTTTACTTATGTAAATTATCACATGGATTCTTCAAATATTCAATAAAAGAAAAAAAAAAACGATTTGATGGGCTTCACCTAGCTAGGACCATGAAGTTAATGATGCATAGGGTGATCATATGCTGGCTGCTTCAAAAGCTATGAAGCTGGTGATAGAAGTTGAAGTGGGGAGCTGCCTTATTTGGACCTGGTGTTGGAAATAGATCACAATCTGATGTTTGTCCATGCTCTTAGAAACCCAACCATGTGGGTGAATCAATGAACTAGGGAAAGTCGAGGAGCATATCCTTGACACAAACAGGGTCTTTAATTCGATGAAGTTCCATCATTCTCCTAGTCCGTGCCCTCAGCAGCGGAAGGGCTGGTAACCTTAAGTATTGAATGAGTCTGGGTTGAGAAGAGACCAAATTCAAAGTTTTTATTCTTGCTTCTACCGTATCACTCTTCCGTTTATCATTGACATCTGCCAGAAATTTGAGATCAATAAGATCTTGTAAACATTATAGAGAGACTAGCCAAGTAGTCCATGCCTTGAGCAGCAGAAGGGCTGGTAACCTTAAGTATTGAATGAGTCTGGGTTGAGAAGAGACCAAATTCAAAGTTTTTATTCTTGCTTCTACCATATCACTCTTCCGTTTATCATTGACATCTGCCAGAAATTTGAGATCAATAAGATCTTGTAAACATTATAGAGAGACTAGCCAAGTAGTCCATGCCTTCGGCAGCAGAAGGGCTGGTAACCTTAAGTGTTGAATGAGTCTGGGTTGAGAAGAGACCAAATTCAAAGTTTTTATTCTTGCTTCTACCGCATCACTCTTCCGTTTATCATTGACATCTGCCAGAAATTTGAGATCAATAAGATCTTGTAAACATTATAGAGAGACTAGCCAAGTAGTCCATGCCTTCAGCAGCAGAAGGGCTGGTAACCTTAAGTATTGAATGAGTCTGGGTTGAGAAGAGACCAAATTCCAAGTTTTTATTCTTGCTTCTACCATATCACTCTTCCGTTTATCATTGACATCTGCCAGAAATTTGAGATCAATAAGATCTTGTAAACGTTATACAACAGTTAATTTTATGGAGCAATATCAAATGGGTTAATAGCTCAATTTATTTTTATATAATAAGATAATTCTTCAATCTATTCTTATATATTTAATCAAATTAATTTTATTTTTTAAATATATGTAAAGTTTTTAATTTATTATGTTGACAAAATTTTCATGTCTAATCACCCAAAAATAGTCATATGATTTGCACTATTTTTAGTTTCGAAGTGTTTTTGCAAGCTAGATAAATAGAAAACTTTTATGTGTAAATCATGTGATTAATTCGATAGTTTAGTTCGAAAGTCTTATTAAAAAATCGATTAAAAACATAAAGTATATTAAGAAATAAAAATTTTCAATAAAATTGAAAAATTATTTGATTATGTCAGGACAAATTCAGCCATTGTTTCGTATCACATTTTGAAAACTATATTTTACGAGTTAAAGTATTTCTGCGATAAAATAGAATAAAAATGCTAGACGGCAACAAGTTGTCATCAGATTTTAGATATGCAATCATTTGAAGACTTTAAGGCCCGACGAGCCCAGTTGCCAAAATTATACATTATTATACATAAAACGAAAAAGGTTGGAGTCCACTACTATTTACGGTACTATTTATCCGCACTTAATTATACTATTCATTTATATAGCGGTAATTTTATAATTTATAGGCTATTTTAGGCGTTTAATAGTTTTTACCAGCGTTATGCTGTGGTTCGAAAAAAACTTATAAAATTTTATTTTAAAAATAATTTTAATTTGATGGTATGTATTACATTATTGGTTATCAAAATATATTAAACATAAGGTAAAAACAAAACTATTATTTTTAAAAAATTCTATGTTTAACAAACATATTTATTATGCTTTTTTATAAATTTTTTGCTAAAAAAATAAAATTTATTCTTTTATGTTCAAATTCTTAACTCGATAACTTGTAATAAAAATTCTAAAATACATGGACTCTTAACTAAAAACTTTTCTTATAATTTTTTTCAAAAAAAAATCTAAGATTAATTATTTAAAAAATAATTTTAATCTTATTTTGTAAAAAAATGATATATGTATATATATATATATATGTATATATATATAATCATTTAAGAATAAAAAATCGTTATATAAATTATATTAAATTTTTTTCAAAGAGAAAATAACAATATTCTAAAAAATTATTAAAAAATTCATACATAGGTTTCTCTCTCCTCCCTCTATCTCTCTTCGTTTCTCTCTCCTCTTACTAATTAGTAACCGGATTATAATATAAATAAAGTTACAAATCAAAATAAAAATTGTTAAAAAATCGAGAGACAGAAAAATAATATTGCAAAACTTTACATATAGAGTGTCCAAAAGAAACCTCAAAATTAGTAGTTGAGAGTAAATAGTAATATAAGCAAAATAAATGCATAAAAAATCTTAAAATAACAAAAATGTTGTGAGTATGTGAATAGTCTAAAAATAACAAAAACCCCATATATTTCTTTTAGGTTTTTTGTAATTTTTTTTTTTGTACTAAAATATATCAAGAACTCCTAAGATTGAAAAAAATTAATTGCAATATACAAATTAAGGATTATTTTCTTTTATTTATTTACTAAATAAGTCAAAGAAAATAATCCTTAATTTGTATGGAATCAATCAAACCCAACTTTTTCTTTCCTTTTTTTTTCTTTCGGACTAGGTTGGAATCAGACCCAACCCAATCACACACAAAGCTCAACCCCAAAATACATGCAAAACTCTCCTTTTCTCTTTTTCCTCTTCCTCATCCGATTGCTCTCTCTACCCTTTATTCCTTCCTTCTTCTTCTCTCTCTCTGCCTTCCATGGGACGAACCAATGATGGTCCGTCCATCTTTCTCTTATTCTCCTTTTTTTTTTTTTTTTTGTCTTTCTTCTTCTTATTCCTCTCTCTCGGCCCTCTCTTCTTTTTCTCTTCTTTCCCGATCCACATTGGTTCGTCCCTCTTTCTCTTCTCCTTTTTTTTGTCTTTCTTCTTCTTATTTCTCTCTCTCGGCCTCATCTCTTTCTTTTTCTCTTCTTTTTCCCAATCCATGGAAGAAACAAACCAAAGATTTTTGGTCATTCTTTCCTCCTTTCTCTCTCAATCCTTGTTTCCCTCTCACCTTATTTATCTCCCTCATCCAATTAGATCAAAATCCAAAATTGAAAATTTTTCCCAATTTGGTCGAACCCTAAGTTTTTAATTTTTCAATTTTCCTTTTCAAATGGCCTCGATTGGCTTGATTTCTCTTAAGATCAAGCCCATTCAAACCTAAATGAGTCATTATTTTCAAAATCCCCTAATTTTTATTGTTGTTGAAGATCTCGTAAATCCTAGTTTTCAATATCATCTAATTCGGGTTCCATTCATGGTTTAACCACTGAATTGAAACTCCAATTAAGTTCCATTAGCATTCCTTTCTATTATTCAACCTCAATTTCAATCCACAACAAAAATCTCTAGATTCCAAAACCCTAACTCGTCAAGAACCCTAAATTCCTAAAAATTTCAATTTAATTTCCAAATTCAAACTCTCAATTCAGTTAAACAAATACAAATATATGTGTGTGTGAGTGTGGAGGGGAAAATTCGGGATCGATGATGATGATGGAGAGGTGTTGTCGCTTCAAAAATTAGGTAAAAATTCCTTCCTCTTTCGTTGTTTATTTGATTTTAATTTTTAGAGCGAGATTCTCTCCTTTTTTGTTTCCTGCTCGCCTTTTTTTTTTTTTTTTTTATGAATTCAATTGATTAAGATTAATCTCATTTCCTGTGTTTGTCATCTGCTTTCTATTGTGATTGTTTTGGTTCCCACTGTTTGATGGTGTGAGACTTTATTATAGAATATGAAGTGGGGGTTTTGATTGATAGGTTAGTGATTTTTAAGAAAAAATAGCAGATGACGACTAGTAGAAGGAGGAGAAGATTATAAGAGAAGGTTAAGGAGGTAGAGAATAAAAGTAGCAATGGCAGCATTGTAATTAGAAAAGCAAAGGAGGGTGCAAAATTAAAGAAAACATTGTTGTATGGATAAGGCCATCCACGGTGTTTTGTATTGAGGCGAACGAGTACATTAACAACTTCACCCTCACATCTTTTAGAGTCTTTTATAATATGTGAGTTTTATTAGATGATGGACTTTGATCCTTGATATTTTCAAAACTTTTGTTTTGATTTTCAATTTCATTTATGTCGTAGTTCGGTCTCTAAATACAAATAAGAGAGATAAACAACAAAAAAAAGAAGGAGAAATAAAGCAATGCTTAAGCTCTATTCCGACCACTTTAATTGGCAATCTTGCTTTCAAATTATTTATCTTGAATAAGAGATTTTGTTTGTGGTAGTTTCAAACTATAAAATAGTTGGAGAAGATGGATCAAATCATAACATATTTTGAATTTTTGGATTTGATTTTTTTTTTAATATGAATTGAAAAGCGTTTTAAGGTTCTGAATGAGTATTTTAATCTTATTTTAGTGATTTTGAAATGTTTTGGGGGTAAAAATAATGTTGGAATTGAGTTTTGGAGGTTTGAAACCAAATTCACGATTTTTCAATGAACTCACGTGGATGATGCGTCGCCCATTTGTTTTTGTTTTTTTTTAAGATGGGCAATGCGGGTATACTTTTACATGCCCAAAAGCACAGGTTTGACTTGGTTTTATTTTTTATTTTTTGGCTTTTTTCTCAACAGTTTATTTATTTATTTTGAATTAGGTGAGAAAAATATAAAAAATCAATCATTATTTTTATTTAACACAAGTTAAAAATGATAAAATATATATCTGGCGTATTTTCAAATTTTAGAATAAACATATATGTTATATTATATTATTCTTATGGTTAAAAATTGATTTTTTTAATCTATCTTATGAAAATTTTCTTTCAATTGAGTTTTTATTTTTATACAATTTTCTTTGTTACCAAATATGATTTTTTTTCCTCTACATTAATTTTGGGATAAAATTTTATACGTGATTATTTTATCTATCTCTTTTTATATATATAAATATACGAATATAATTTATATGATGAATTCTTATGATTTTTAAATAAGAGTGATGTGATTGTGTGTGTACGTGTGTTAAAAAGTTAAAAATATATTTTAGATAATTTGTCTCAAACTTATTAAAAAAAATGTTTTAAATAATCAAATAAAAAATAGAATTGATATGTTTCATTTACTTCTTCTTTATATAATCAAAATTTATTAAAATTAATTTTATAATAGTTTTTATTATTCTATTAACTTCATAATTAGTTAATATATTCCTTGCAACTTAAGTGTTTTTTCTAAATATTATTTATTTATTTATTTATGATGCTTACTCTAAAGCCAATTAAGTATCATCGTGATGTATAAAAAAGAATTAAGATTATTAGTTTTATTATAAATTAATTGTGTATCCGCACATGTTACACCAACTATTTACTATTTTTATTTTTTATAATATTTTAAATGAATTTATTTCAAATAAAATTATTAAAATAATGTTTTAAAAGAACAACCTAATGATTCAAATACAACTTTTTATATTGATATTATTGATTATTTTATAAATAAATAAATAAAAATCAAACATAATAAAATAATCTTCTTGTCAGCATTAAATAAAAATAAAAATATCTTTTCATTTGTTAATTTTTATATAATTTTTACATTAATTGTTACTTTATTTTTTGATGCAATCTTATGAAAATGATATTTGACCATTTAAAAAATATATATTTAAATTATTCTAAGTTTTTGTTTAAGAATCAATGCATAAGGAAGAATAAATCATATTTTTTTTCAAATAGAAAATTTATGAAAATACATAAAGAAGAATAAATTGAATATAATTTTTATTAAAAAATAAAAAAATTAGATGAATTTTTTAATATTTGATTTAATATTTTAATAAATCTACGGCATAACACATATTATCACGTTAAAATAAATTTTGAAATGATTTTATATGTTCTATCTAATCTATAACATAATTATTTGCTAAACTTCTTCATTCAAACAGAGTCGTGATTGAACAAAAAAAAAAAAAAAGAAAACTTGTCTTTGATCATATGAAATTTATTATGTGCTACTAGCTTCTTTTTTTTTTGCAGGAACCTTGCTTTGTTGTGCTGGAAAGGAATTTCCTCGATGTCAGAAAAGTCTGCTCCATTGGACTGGCATAAGATTTCCCTAATATTTGCCATCTGAACAGGTTTTGATACTTTGACTTGATTTCTTCTTCCATTTCATTTGCTAAAAGACAATAGTATGATTTTAACCTAAATCTTATAATGATATCAATTGAATTGTATGGCCCAAATTTGAGTTACATTTTACAATATAAAATTAAATAGTTAAAATTTAATTTTATTTAAAAGATTTAAAACTCGAGATAGATAGAATTTGTTTTGATATTATATATTATTTGCTTGTTGATTATTTATTAAAAGTGATTTAAGTTCTCTAAACATATATTAGTCTTTTCTAAGACAACAATAAATAAAAAATAAATGATACCTTCTTTTTTTTTGGTTCAATTGGTAAGAATCATTTCGAACAAGTTTGTGTAAATTAATTGAAATTAAGTTTTATTCTAGAGGATCTTAAAGGTACCTTAATTCAAAAGATTCAAATTTTATGACTGATTTTTTTTAATTTTATATATTAGTTATTTATTGTTTATTTATTTAATACGAACTGGGTTCTCTAACATATATTGGCATTTCCTAAGACAACAATAAATAAATAAAAAATGATACTTTTTTTTTTTTTCTTTGATAGTAAGAATATTTTTAAACAAACTTATATATTAATTAACATTAAATTTTCAAATCTCTTTTGAGCAAAAGGTCTATTTATGAGTAGTTATGTTTTTAACGAAAAAAAAATAGAGTACAGATGGTGTTATTCAACAGAGAGAAAGGATAAAAAAAAACGTGGAATAAGAGTCCACAGTTGTCTTGATTTTCCTCTCTGATCGGCGTCACATTGTTCAACTTACCAATAAAAGGAGAGAGAATGTTTCTTTTTTTCTTTTTCAGGAATAGAGGTAAATCAGTCCATATATCATGGATCTGAGATCTACCTACAAAACTCAAAAGGTCTAAGATGCGATTTATGCGATACTGTGCAGGTGTATGAGAATATTAAACGAAAAGCATGGAAACAGACAGCAGAGGCCTCGTGCTTGTATATGTATAAAATATATCTGGCATCATTTGTCCTCACACCTTAATCATCATCGGACAGCTGATTTTGGAGCCTGAGCATGCAAAGGAGTCTAAGCTGAGGTAGATTGAGGATCACTTTTTCATTTCTTTTGATTGTTAGCTCGAACTTCCGAGGCATGCATGAGTGTATAAACTTTTAAGTCGGAGAGATTGATCGTGAATGTAATCCATAATTTAGCATATTATATTATGTAGAATTAGTAAGACAGGTTGATTAGAGTTTTTCTAATAATATTAGTTGTTCGCCTTATAAATATAGATACTATCTCTTACATTTGTATTCATTGATTGAAAAAATTTAATAAATTTTTTTTATACAATCCTAAAATAAATATATTTAGCGAAATGCATAAATTTTGTTTTTTTGTTTTTATATATATAATTATATGATTCGGTTCATAAAATAAGGTGAATCAGTTTTTTTTTTTTTTTTAATATATACATATTCGTCTACTAAAAAAACTACCGATCTCAATAGTTCTGGTGAAGATAAAAGATAAGTAATACTACTTTGCTACTTAAATATATTTGTAGCGAAGTCAATTTCTTTTCATATTTTTCTTTCTTTACACTAATTTCCGTCATTTTTTTGCGTGGTGTGAAGAGGGAAATTTACCTTCTGTCGCAAATTTAAGAGAAATTGACTTCGCTTGATGCATACAGCCGTCGTCAATTGACTTGATTTCTTCCATATTCTCTTAATTATGAGAGATCAGATGGAACAAAAATGAAACCTTAGGAAAAACTTGATCCATAAAAAACATATTTCTAGAAATTTCAGAATTTATGTATTTAAAAAAATTACAAGAGAAGTTCTAGAAAGTATATATACATCCATAATTTTACTGTTCGTTTACTGTATTAATGCTTGAGTAATCTAAAAAAAGAAAAGAAAAAGGAATGCATGACACGACTGCCTTTTCAGTAACTGATAAATGCAAACATTCCAACCATGACTCAAAGAAACGAGATTTATTTGAATAAAGGTGCTTTAAAAAAGCTCCCGGCAAGAAACGAGATTTATTGTCCAAAAACGATGTCTTTATTACTCTACCCCCACCATGTGGGATTAAAGATGTACCTCCGACAAGCCAACCATGCTGTTCTGCGAGAAAGCCATTGACAGTAACATTTTGGAACCAAACATTTTTCATAAAGTTTGCAACAACCACGGGAAACCAAAAAACAAAAAATCTTGGGATTTGACTAAGTTGTTTTTAACTTGTTATTCAGGGTGTACTAAGTATTTTGTATTTATTGATCATACAAGAAGTGTAGTTAAAAAACCTATTATTCAGGGTGTATTAAGTATTTTGTATTTATTGATCATATAAGAAGTATAGCGAAGATTAGTTTATTTCTCACGCTATATTCGAATTAGATAAAATAAAATTATTTTAGTTTGCTATTCTATGTTATGTTTATTAGGATTTATTATGCTTAACATGTCTGTCATAATAGGTCTCCGATATATGAAATAGAGTTTAGATAGATCTCCGATATTATTTATTAGATAAGTCTTGTAGTTGTGTCCTTTAGCTTCTTTCCTTTACTCGCTTTCTCGTTGTAAGGCTATATATAGCCATGCCTAAGCGTGTAATGGGTCGTTGACTTAAAAAATGGTTTTATGCGTATTTTTCTCTTAAATCTATCGATTAGTATCGGTAGTGAGCCTATCCACTACGAAGCAGAAGTTGTTGTTGTAGCAATGTGTGCATGTCGAGCAGTTTGGTTAATGAGAGTATTGGAAAAATTGAAACAAGATCAAGAGAAGCCAACTAGAATTTAATGTGATAGCAGCTCCGCAATCAAACTATCAAGGAATCCAACAATGCATGGACGAAGTAAACACATTGATGTTCGTTTTCATTTCCTTCGAGATCCGACAAAAGCCGGTGTTGTAGAATTGGTGCATTGCATAACACATGAGTAAGTAGTAGATATAATGACTAGACCTTTTAAGTTGAAAGTGTTCTTGAAGCTACGAAAAATGCTAGGAGTATGTTCAAAGAACGATTTAAACCGAAAATTGTAGAGTTCAGCTTTAAGGGAGGAATTGTTAGGATTTATTATGCTTAGCATGCTTGTCATAATAGTTCTCCGATATATGAAGTAGAGTTTAGATAGGTCTCTGATATTATTTATTAGATAAGTCTTGTAGTTGTGTCCTTTAGCTTCTTTCATTTATCGCTTTTTGTTGTAATGCTAAGCGTGTAACGGGTTGTTGACTTAAAAAAGGCTTTCTACGTATTTTTCTCTTAAATCTATCAATGTTGTGAGTCTATTAAAATATATATCGAATCAAAATTAAAAAATATATCAAATTTAATAACATTTTTAATCGAAATCTTGTATTTAATTTATTCTTCCTTCGTTTTTTAATGTAAATTTTATACTTAAATAGATAAGATTGTTTTTTCTTATTTGTGCATTGATCCTTAAATAAAAACGTATAATAATATAAATAAAAACTATAATTCAAAAATGTAAACAAATATCTTAATATTTTATTTCATAAGATTGTAAAAAGTAAAGCTACAATTAATGTAAAAACTTGTATAAAAATTAAAGAATGAAAAAAATAATTTTTTATTCTTATTAATTTATACATTCAACCACAAAATAATCAATAGCATTAGCAAACAAAATTGTACTTGAATCATTGAGTAATTTTTTTAAATATTATTTCAATTAATTTATTTAAAATAAATTATTTTTAGAATATTTTTAAAAAACCAAACAACGTGTTATATGTATAGATGCATAATTATTTTTTACTAAAACCAATAATGCGCATACACATACACACCAAAGAGCTTGTAGCTCATTGATAGTAGTTTCTTGCAACAAGAGCTAACGGGTTCAAATCCTAGCGGACTAGTTCCGTTATAACTTTTGGATGTGTGAGTTAAAAAAAAAAATACACACACACACACACACACACACACCATCATCATCATCACTATAGTTAATGGATTCAAAGTGTGCAATATAAAATATAAAATATACAAAAAAAAATCATATTTAACTTGTAAGGAATATATTAAATGAATTTAAAGTTGATAAACTAAAATAAAAACTACTATAAAATTAATTTCAAAGAATTTTATTTGCATAAAAAAGAAGCAAATAGCCCGTGTGAATTTTATTTTTAATTGATTATTTTAAAATAGTTTTTTTATATAAATTTGAGACAAAGTATTTAAGATACACGTCTAGCATTTAGATTACACACGCGCAGCACACACACGCACACACAATCATACACCTTATTTAAAAATCATAAGAACATGACATATAAATTACATGAAAGTATTTAAAGAAAAAAATATATTATAAAATTTTATTCTAAATCCATACATAGATAAAAAAAAAATCACACATGCTAACAAATAAAATTACATAAAAAATTTAATTGGATGAGAATTTTCATAAAAAAAATGACAAATCGAATAAATTATCCTAAAATCTAAAATATATCATATATATTTCTTCATTGCCAAACTATATGAATTTTTTTTTAAAAAAGATTGTTTTTTCATAATTTTCACACAAAATATAATAATAAAAAAACTAAAATAAATTGTTGAAAAAAAAAAGACAGGCACGTGCCTTCGGGTCTACTCCCACGTGGCACGACCGTATTAAAAAAAAAAAAAAAAACCAAGAATGATGGAAACTTCCAACAAACTTGAATTCGCCCAAAACTTTGTTGGAAATCAAGATTTTTAGTTTTCAACCCTCAAACACCTTAAAAACACTAGAATAAGATTGAAAAAAAAAAAAATCCTCGTTTGAACCTAAAATTTATTTTAACACATATAAAAAAATTAATTTAAAAACTTAAAATATTTTAAAATTTTAATATATTTTCTTGAAGTATTTTATAATTAGAAACCACAATAAACAAACTCTTATGTTCAAAATAAATAAATTGAAGAAAAGATCACTGATTAAAGTGATCAGAACGAATAAAATTAAAAATTGAAACAAAGGTTATTGAAAACATGTTCAACCGGAGGGCAACATCTGGTAAAACTCATTATATATGGTTCGTTGGAAATTCGTACACGATGAATTATTTGATTACTCCTGTAGTTTGATGTCGGAGTTCCGAAATTTCAACGGTGCAAGGTTCAAGGAGCATCGGTGACGGCAGCAGGTGCACCACGACAATTAATGAAAGACGGAATTACGAGAAAAGGTTGGGTAAAACAACTAGCTAGATTGTTCCCGGTTTCGATGATAACAATGTCTTTTATTTAACAGGAGAGGACATCCGTCGATCTTGGTACAGAGCCAAAACCACATGCACTCAAGAAGAGATAACGAGGAATCAAACTAATTCCCATTGGCAACAAACCACAAACAAGGACTACTTTTTAACAACAGCTTCACAAATTGGCGTGTTTTGTAATCTATTGTTTATGTACAAAGAGGACAGTACAATGCTATTTACATTTACAGTGGAATGTTTGGAGTCATATATTTAGAATTTCATAATGAAAAAATATAAAAGGTGAAAAAGAACGGTTCGTTATCTCGTCTTGTAGGATATAGCTCGATTTTTTTTTTTTATAAATATATCATTTGCATGCTATGTTTCCATTAATTGGTAAAAATAAATAAATTATATTATCAATTCTGTCAATTAATTAAGTTCTTTGTTTTTTTTTATTTCAAGTAATTGAATACATTCGTCTAAATAAAAAATGAGACTACACAATAAATAAAAAAGATGACAATGTTCATAAAAATAAAGTAAAAGTTGACAGTAATAATCTAGGTAGTGAATAAAAATACTCAATTGGATTGATATAGATTCGATTGATCAAAAATTAGCAATTAGCAATTAAAAGATTCTTTTGAAGGATTGTAAGAACACTGGATAGAGTAGTGGGTTAAGCATAATTATTTTTTTAGCTATTTACCAATAGACCGCTGTCTGGCATCTAATATTTATTTAGTTTTTGAACGTCTCTCATTCACTTTTATTCACACGAATACACGCCATTGTTTTTAATTTTATATCTGGACGTTTCTACGTAAATAAATAATAATGACAAAAAAGAATAAATTGATTTGGCGTATTGTCATCACCGTAATTAAATGGAATCTATGAAAAACAATTGCAATTTGAATGCCTAGTTTTTTTTTTAATATTTGAGTACCTAACCGGTAAATTTTTTTACTTTAATGATTAGCCTTTTATATGTGTCAACAATCTCTTAAGGCTAATGGGTTCGAGATGAACTGCTACATGATAGTTTTTAACTAACACTAATAAAGAAGAAGTTATGTTTGGATTATTCATAAAAACTAGAGATAGTTACTAGAAAAAACTTTATAAAAAAATCCTCTATCTAAAATACCTACAAATTTATTTTTAAATCTCTCAAACCTAAAATGATATTTTTCTTACTAAAACACTTAATAATTAACACTAGTGTTAACTATTGGTTGTTTTGGTAAGAAAAATATCATTTTGGGCTCATGATATTTAAAAATATTATTTTTTGTTTGAAAAATTTAAAAATAAAATAGTTAATTTTTTAGATAGAAGATTTTTTAGAAGATATTTTGATAATTATCCCTAGTTTAAATGAAACCATTATCTTTCAAGATATGTATTTTTATTATGGATGATCATGTTTTATTTAACTAATGCATCAAAATATGTTATATATTCATCTTGTAATTTAATTTAATTGATTGATAAAAAATATTGAGTTATGATTAATTAAGAACTAGTATTATGGATGATGTTTTTTTTCCTATCAATATATTAGAATTTAAAAAATCACTAATATTCATAATCATACATATTCTTATTTTTCTTATTTGTATGATAACCCTTTAATTAAATTACAAAAGAATAGTTAGAGTCTCATTTCATCAATATTAATTGGTTAAATTGCATCAATTGCTATAGTTACTAGATAGTAAAATTAATCTCGTAATTAATGAAATAAATGGTAGATGGAAAAAAAAACTCTAATGTAAGAAATTTTTTAGTATAATAAAAAAAATAATGGTCAAATGTTAGTGCTTAAAAGTCAAAGAACCTCAAAAACCTTTCTTTTTTTTTTTTTAAATGCAATAAAAAAGAACTTGACTTGATCATGAAAAAATATATATATCAAAGTCATTAAAAACTATGAAATGAGTTTATTATAAGATAAAAAATATATAACAAAACTCTAAAAAATTTTCTATCTAAAATATCCATCACTTTATTTTTTAAATCTCTAAAATCTAAAAAAAAAAAATTATCTCAACAAAAGACCCAATAGTTAACTAATGTTAAGTTGGAGGTTAACTATTGGATGTTTTGGTAAGAAAATATTATTTTGGGTATGAGAAATTTAAAAATAAATTAATGAGTTATTTGGATATAAGATTTTTCGTAGAGTTTTCTCGGTAATTATCCCTAAAAAATACAATTTAATTTTTTAATTTTTGATTTTTTTGTTTTTGTTTTAGTGTCTAATATTTGATTTGTTTATGTATTTGAGTCTCTTTAGTCACTTAAGTATAGAAAATACCGACATAATCAAAATTCATTGATACATGACAGTTTTTAGCTAATATACGACAAAAAGAAGATATTTATCGAGAAAAAATAAATAAAAAATTATAAAATTTCTACAAAAAAAAATAATTGGTGAGAATTAAAAAAACACACAAAAAAAAAATCAATTATTGTTAGCCAAATGAACTCTAATTGTTTAAACAATCCAAGGTTAAAACTCTTGGATTAGGTAAAGAAAATATTTAGATGATGATATCTTAAAAATATTTAAAATAAATAAATAAAATATTATAAAATAAAATAGCAGGTAAGAATTACAAAAAAAAAACAATTACCGTTAGTCGAATGAACTCGAATTGTTTAGATGATTTGAAGTTAAAATCTCGAATTAGGCAAAATGCGTCTAGATGATGATATTTTAAGATTGTTTCAAGAAATGAGTTAGCAAACTTGTCGAGTTCAATCGGCTAACACTAATTAATTTTGATCTTTTTGATTATTGTCAGCTATTATTTTTAATAAAATTTTTATATTTTTTTCAATAAATTCGAATTGGGATATATATATATATTTTTTTCACGTATCATTTAAAGATTGATGTATGTTAATAAATCTCAATTGCATTAATATTTTTTAGCTTCGAGTGATTGAAGAAATTGAAATAAAAAAAATAATCGACCATTAGTTACTCAAATAGAAAAAATAATTAAATGTCAGATCCTCAAATTGTATTTTTCTCTAAAAAAGATCGAATTGTTATTTTTTTAAATAATTTAAGTTGGACTCATTTTTTGTCATGTATCGTTAAAAACTACAATGTGATACATTATTTCGGACACATCACTCCCGTGCGACTGTAGACACTAAAGAAAAAAAATCAAAACTTAAAACACTTAAATGTCAGATCCTCAAATTGTATTTTTCTCTAAAAAAGATCTATTTTTTTTTTAAAAAAATAATTTAAGTTGGACTCATTTTTTGTCATGTATCGTTAAAAACTACAGTGTGATACATTATTTCGGACACATCACTCCCGTGTGACTGTAGACACTAAAGAAAAAAATCAAAACTTAAACACTTAAACAGAAAAGGATTTACTAATATTTTCTAGAAAATAACCGAAAAGAAACACAAAATCTTCTTTTATATTAAAAATGTTTTTTTTTCCCACCTCATTACGTACAGCACTAATAACACTGCACATGTTAATCCTTGTTTTTTGTTTTTCAAATTTTCTGCGAACTTCAAAATTTTTAAGTAAGCAGAGCAGTCTCTCTCTCTCTCTCTCTCTCTCTCTAACTTCAACATTTTGTCGCATTCAGGATATTCTTTCTATTTTTTTTCAAGAGTGGTCACATCATTCCATCCTACTATGAACTCATTTGGAATCCTACAAGTCAGGCACGTCCCTATAACAGAGGAACCACAACAAAATAATCAATTCAAAATTTATAAGGCCACCATATTTATCCAAAATCTATAACAGATATTCATATCCGAAAACTCAAAATGATTTCATTACTGTGTTTACAGGGTCATTCCATTTCTCTCTGTTCACGTTGGCAGGTCCACCATTAATCAACTTTTCCACTTCATTTTCTCACTTTTTTTTTTTTTTTTTCCTTTGGCGATTCAAAGATTTTATATCTAACAAAATCACCATGGTTTAATTAATCAAAAGACAAAAGCTTGTATAGTATAATGGGTCACATCAAATATTAGATTTGAGGGCGTATGCGTCATTTATGCATATCTGCATTTAAAAAAACTTTCATAAAATTACCTGTCACGGCTGTCACATGGTGAGTCTGTCTGAGAATGAGTCCAACGTGACAGCCAGCAAATCTCATTGGGGTGTTTTTGTGATCTGCCTTCGATATCTTCATTTTTTTTGTTTCTTTCTTTCTTGTATCTTTTATAATAATAACAATAATAATAAATTATAGTTTTTTTTTTTTTGAAAGGAAAAACCCTCTTCCTACCCATCACTTCTACTTCACTCACTATATTTATCACTAGAGCTTCTAAGCTAAAAGGTCGGTTCGCATCTGCCCATTTCCAAGCGTCCTGTGTTTCAGGTAGTTTTTCCTTTCTCTTTCTCTAAAATCTTAGTCTTTTGGTTCTTGGTCTCTTTTCGGTGTATTTTTTTTTTTAATATCTATTTTTGTAGAAGATGATGGAATTCACTGGAAAGTGAGATATTGGATTTGCGTGATGTGTTAAAAGCGAGTTTTCTTTTTAACTGCAACAAAATGACTAGCAAGTTTTTGTCTTTACGGTTTACAGCGAGTGTAATCCAAGGAGATTGGGTTTATTTTTGATTCCTTTAGCTACTCTGTCTGGTTACAGAGCAGGTGAAGGAAATTTAGACCTTTCAGCCGGTCATTGTTCTTGTTCCTTAATTAGTTCTCTCTCCCTCAATTTTAGTTTTTGTTTAAAATCTTTTTATTTTAAGGGTTTGTAGCAATAGATCTGATCTCTGATCTTTTTGCATGTCACATTTCCTGTTAGTTAAGTACTTTGTTTAATCCCATATGAAAAACGTGAACCTGCTGGACTAGGTCTCATTTATATTTGTGGTAGTGCCTTCCTTGACTTTACTGTAATCATTTTTTAGAGGATCAGGCTTTCAGGAAGTGCCTTTTGCACCATGTCATCATTTTGCTTGAAGGAATTTGCAACTCGTGTTGAACTCGATCTCATAGTTAGTGGATCTGACGTTTAACAGTGTTTTAAAAATCCAAGGGCGCCATTTCAGATTAATGTTTTCTTTCCTTTTCTTTCTTTTGTTTTATCATCTTGTCAAAAAGATCTTGATTTCCTGAAAGAACTGCGCTTTTTTTAGTCTTTCAGTAAGCATATAGTATTTGGTATTATGCAGTGGAAGATATTGCTTTAGATATTCTAAATTTTGGCATTTCTAACTCTTATAGTATGATTTATGTTTCCCAAAGGAGAATGATCTTGGTTTCCTGAAGGAACTACGCTTTTTTTTAGTCTTTCAGTAACAATATAGTATTTGACATTACGCAGTGGAAGATATTGCTTTAGATCTTCAAAATTTTGGCATTTCTAACTCTTATAGCATGATTTATGTTTCCCAAAGGTGAATGGGGGCGGATTGTGGTCTTTAACGTTAAGCAGACCACATTAGCAGGGAAATGCAATGTAGATCTAAAAGGATAATTAGCAATATCCATGTAGCATGCGAGATTTATGTTACCTCTTTTTGTCAGCAAATTTCTTTTGCCTATTGGGGGAAAATAAGAGAAATTAATTTGGAAAAACCTCATTAGGAGACTCTATAATTGTATCAAATCATCAAATTCAACCATGTGTAAATAATTTTGCTAATTCAATACGTTTAGGTAATTTGATCCAACCGATCTCAATTGTTAACTTACATCAATTTACTATGTTATAGCTTGCCGAGGTGAAAAATATTAGTCACATATTGGTCATGAAGCATACAATTTTAACTAGGATGCTTAACTCTATTTTTCAGAGAAACATTCTAAAAAATATAGAAAAAATTTCTAAAGTAAATAAACCAAAAGATTTACATTTTCTTCTCTTTCAATTTTTTCCCAAATCTGAGATTTTTTTTTAAATAAAAAATTTGAGCCAAACTTCTTAGTTAAAATTTCGTGCCATATGACTAATTTTTTCCAACTTAGCAAGCTTTGACATAGCAAGTGGATTTTTGTTAACCATCGATGTTAGTTGGATCAAGTTGCCTAAATATAATGAATATAGAGTCGAATTTTCATAATTGTTTACAGAGGGTGCAATCCGTGTATTTGATGGGAGCAGAGGGTTTCAAAATGGGGTTTCTCCAATTATTTTTAATAAACCTATAGGTTGTGGTTTGAGCTTTTTTTCCTTTGGGACAATTGCATGAGACGTTCTCTGAAATGGTGCTCTCTGTTTTAATTTGAACTCAATTTTGTTTTTTTTTTTCCCTTGTTCCCTTCAGTAGAGTAGGGATTCGACATTTTTGTTAGTTTCTAAATGTTGGCTCTTATTCTTAGTTCAAAATTTTAGTTAGTCTAAGGCTTAGTAAAGACAGGGTCATGCCCACGTTGCATTCTATGCATCTGTGCAGAATTGATAGGTGCCTAACCAGTTTGTTTAAGTTTAGGACATATCATAGTTACTCTAGTAGATGTTATTCAATGGAATATTTAGTTATGTAGAACTTTTGCGGTCCTAAAGGAGCCCTTTAATGCTGAATTAAATGACTGCTGCTCCTGTGTTGCTTTTTGTGTGTTAATTTCTCTCTTTTTTTTTTTTTTGACACTCAAAGTTAGCATGTGCTTTTCAACATAATCTGCCCAGAGTATTTGCTGGGAATTCAGTTAATTTTTATAAGGACTGTTTGTTCTGATGGGAGAGATTGGCATATTCTGCAGATCCTGATCATACTTGTTTATTTATCTTAGTTTCATAATGGAAATCACTGTGGCTTCTTACTGACTCATGTTTTGCTGGTGATAATGGTTTAGGCTATCTCAGTACTTACCGGTTGAATTCACTTATTCCTATAGTTGAACATTTAGCCTCTGTGCTGTATAATGTTTTGAACTCCACCTATTGTAGTATAACTTTCTGTGAAGAACATTTTCTGCTTCAAAACATGCATCAAAAGGTTCAAATTCTGGTTTTAAGAGATGCAATTGTCTCTAAACAACTTTGATTTTAGAAAAGACCTGATTGATTTCAGAATCATCTTATTGCTGAATTCAAAAACCTTTCTTTCTTTCTTCCCCCCCCCCCCCCCCCCCCTTCAGTGCAACATATTAGACGAATGCATGTGTTTTGTCATGTGTTACAAGGCAACTTAGTTGTTTAGAGACAATTGCATCTCTTAGGCAAAGCAAGTTACAAGTTACAAGGTTCCCTGAATTTCTCATTAAATACTTATTTTGTTCTATTTAAACTTTTTGGTTGCTTATGGCTGATTTTTTTCTTGGATGGGAACTGGCAGGGAAAACATTATTGTACTGAGTTGCTTCGGCTTTGCCTAAGCAACAGGATGATTTATTTTTCTTGTCCTTTTCCAAGTCATCAACCTCTGGACTATTCTAGTCATCTTCTCACTTGCATTTAGTACATATCAAAACTTGTTATGTTCCTTCTATTGAGGCTTTCAGGTTTTAATTCATCAATGTGGAGCATTTGGCACTCTGTTTGAAACATGGATTTTCCCTTGTCTATTTATTAATAGTTTCCTTTTTCATGCCTACAGCTGATAGCTTTTCTAACTATTTCTGTTCTTGGTACCCTTTCCCTTCGCCTTCTGCAAAAAAGTACTGTTGGTTTCTACATCAGTGGAGCATTAGAGGCGGTCTCTTTATTTCACCTAATCACAGATGTCGAACTTACAAGTATCTCTATTTTAGTTATGATCTTTCAGATTATCAAGTTTCGTTGATTCCATTGCTCTAGTTTTACTAACTTGTAGCCCATGGAAGTATACAATGCCGATCCATCAGATATCATCAATTCCGTTCCCAAATTTTATTATTAAGTGGAATGCAGAATTTGTTGAAATTTAGAACTCTTTTTTGTTGCCTATTCTTTGCTGATGTCCCAGAATCCTTACTGATCTTACTTTATATTCATCAACAAGCTCTAGAGCCTAAATGTGAATTTAAGCAATTTCTATATGTTTATAGTTTGACCTATTTTGTGCAGTGAAAGGCATCTTACTGAAGCACAATGTCCGATCTTGAGGCCCCCTGCGCCCAAAGAGGAAGAAGGTGTGGGTGGACTATTTTGTCAATTTCCGATGGATCTTAGTTATTTTTGTCGTTCTCCCAATCTCTTTCACCCTTTACTTTCTCACTTATCTTGGGGATGTAAAATCAGATATGAAATCCTACGAAAGGCGTCAGAAGGAACATGATGAAAATGTTAAAAAAGTTCTGAAACGCCTCAAAGAGAGGAATCCATCGAAGGATGGTCTTGTCTGCACTGCTCGTAAACCCTGGATTGCGGTTGGAATGCGGAATGTTGACTATAAACGAGCTCGGCACTTTGAAGTTGATTTATCAGCTTTCCGTAATATCCTTGAAATTAACAAAGAGAGAATGGTTGCAAGAGTTGAGCCACTTGTAAATATGGGACAGATCAGCAGGGCAAGTGTTCCAATGAATCTGGCCCTTGCAGTGGTTGCAGAACTTGATGATCTTACTGTTGGTGGGCTCATTAATGGTTATGGGATTGAAGGAAGCTCTCACATCTATGGCTTGTTCTCTGACACTGTTGTGGCTTATGAGATTGTTTTGGCAGATGGTCGGGTTGTTAGAGCTACCAAGGACAATGAATACTCAGATCTATTCTATGCCATCCCTTGGTCTCAGGGAACACTTGGGCTTCTTGTCTCTGCTGAGATCAAGCTCATTCCCATTAAGGAATACATGAGGCTGACCTACAAACCTGTGGTGGGTAATCTGAAAGAACTTGCACAGGGCTATATAGACTCTTTTGCACCCAGAGATGGAGATCAGGATAACCCCGAAAAGGTTCCAGACTTTGTGGAGACAATGATTTATAACCCTACTGAGGGCGTGATGATGACGGGGAGGTATGCCTCCAAAGAAGAGGCCAAGAAGAAGGGAAATGTGATTAACAGCGTTGGTTGGTGGTTTAAACCATGGTTCTATCAGCATGCTCAGACAGCCCTAAAGAAAGGGGAGTTTGTAGAGTACATTCCAACCAGAGAATATTATCACAGGCACACAAGATGTTTATACTGGGAAGGGAAGCTTATACTTCCGTTCGCTGATCAATGGTGGTTTAGATTTTTCTTAGGCTGGATGATGCCTCCAAAGGTTTCTCTTCTTAAGGCTACTCAAGGTGAAGCAATCAGAAACTATTACCATGAGATGCATGTCATTCAGGACATGCTTGTTCCTCTTTACAAGGTCGGGGATGCCCTAGAATGGGTTGACCGTGAGATGGAGGTAACCTTGGTCTACTTTATCTGTTTTGTTTTTTATATTCTAGTTCCTTTTTCAGAAATATTTTTATTTACCATCTTTTGTTCTGCGTCAAAAGTCTACTCATATGATTGGTTTGAGTGAAAATTTAAATCAACTGTGTGTCATCCTGTAGCTTTAGTCAGGAACTCTGGGTAAGGAAAATATTTGAGATGACGCTATGATTGTAGGTGTTTGACATTGTAAAACATTGACTGCAGGTGCTCTACTTTTAACAGCATGAAGATGTAAAATGACTGCATGAGGATTAGTTGTCTTAGACTCTGACCTGACTGTTGTGATTTTCCAGGTATATCCTATTTGGCTCTGTCCTCACAAGTTATTCAAGCTCCCTGTGAAAACTATGGTGTATCCTGAGCCAGGATTTGAGCATCACCGCAGACAGGGAGACACATACTATGCTCAGATGTACACCGATGTTGGGGTGTATTATGCACCTGGACCTGTGTTGAGGGGTGAGGTGTTTGATGGTGCCGAGGCAGTTCGTAGAATGGAGGACTGGTTGATAGAAAACCATGGCTTCCAGCCACAGTATGCAGTGTCCGAGCTGAGCGAGAAGAAATTCTGGAGGATGTTTGATGCCGACCTCTATGAACACTGCAGGAAGAAATATGGAGCTGTGGGAACCTTCATGAGCGTGTACTACAAATCCAAAAAAGGAAGGAAGACAGAGAAGGAGGTGCAGGAAGCTGAACAAGCCCACCTTGAGGCTGCTTATGCAGAGGCTGATTAATAATGGACTGATTTTGAAGTGAACTTTGGAAATGTTTGGTAGCATTTCTCTCTTTGCTGTTTCTTGCGTTTTCTGGCTTTGCCTATGAGTTGCTTTCATTTAACTTTTCCTAGTGCATGTTGTAGTTGCTGACTTTATTTATTGTCTGAGGTTTTAGCTTATTAGATTAGACTTGTTTGGATGGTTGTTTCCAATCTTACTCTTTGTTCTAGATAGTCCTGAGAGTGTAGCCCTCTTCACACTGCTGCAAAGGGACATCTCTCTTGTGGCAACTGTTGTGTAGCTGGGGGTAGCTAGTCTAGTGAAGTTAGGGCATTATTTATGAGATGGAAGTGTTGGTGGCTGTACTGAGTGTAGTAATTGGCACTAGAAAATAAAAGGAGAGATGGTGAGATGATCCACCCTAGAGTGAAAATTTGCTGTCTTTCTCTGTTCCCGACCCCTTTGTTCCAGTCTTAGGCTAATGCAATTGGTAACCCATTCTCTGACCTTTGAACTTTAACTTGTCTCTGTCAATTTTCAATTACGATATTTTCATCGAAAATTTGAGCTCTTTTAACTGTTGGAACTATGAACTGCGCAGTAGAAGGATGTCGAATGCAATTCTTTTCGCAGAATTATTTTTGAACTACTTAATTGTGAAACATGATATTCAATTAAACAGTCTATTTATTCACCCTTTTTAAGAGGGCATCGAAGGGTAATTATTTTGAAATAATTAATTGCAATTTAAAAAAAAGGGGAGATTTTCATACGGAAAAACAGGGACGACCCAAAAACGATTTGATTTGCTTGAGAATATTTTTCCTGCAGGGCTACAGGCTACAAGTGAAATGTTTAGTAGCTGACCATTTTTATCCTCCTTTTTAACAAGGTAAATTGCATATTAATAATTTAATACAGAATTACTGTTCGAATGAAATTATTATGAATCAATTTGATTGATCAATTCAACTGATTAATTGGTTCTAGACGCCCTGGAAGATTTTGTACAATTAAAGGTGCTCATTGAATGTGACTCTCACGTCTTCTGTTTTTATTTTTTTATTTTTGTTTATGATCAATGTGTTACATGGAAAAAACTTAAAAAATAACCTTAAACTGTCGTGTTTACATGAAGCGCAATCAACGCTAACAGCGACCCCATTTTTGAGAAACCAAGATCCATGTGCATGTTGACTTCTGTCATTTCCAAAATTTTCTGGCAACATTTTTAATACAAAATCTGAACTCGTTGACAATGACATGTTCAACGTTAAAGAAGGATCTTACCAAAATATATACTACATATACAATTTGTTTTTGTCAACTTGTCATGGCAGAGAACATTAATTTTTGATTTTAGCACTTCTGGTTCAGCTTGAGGAGGGCATCAATATGACTAAACCTAGCTGTAGAATTTAGAAAAAAGGTAGAGATTACCTGTTTTCAAATGTAACTCATGTATAAGACAAGTACCTAATCCATTGATTTAGACAGGTTTCTACTTAGATTATTGTTCCTAATGGTGGTTAATATATTAACCAACGGTCCTCCATTCTAAGTCCGTCAACTTCATGACTCTGTGCCCTAGCTGTCTGTATTTTAATTTCACATTTTCTTTTTCTACGATTTTTGTCTTTGGAGAAAATCACAACTAAGTTGGTCCAAGCTTTATTCTATTTAGAACTGGAACATGTTTGGCAGAGGGAGCTGGGATCTAGGAGGAGGAGGAGGTTCAACAGCTAGCTAGTAGCTCTTAGTTATTTATTTATTATTAATTTGTGTAATTCCGTAACACAATTATCTACCTTCTGATTTCAAATATTAATGAATCCAAGACCATGCATTACCTGCTGTCTCTTCTGCCATTCCTACTTTAGATCTCATTCTTTCTTGTAAATATTTAAATAATTCAAAAACTTGAGACTACTCATTATTAATTATATATATTGTATATACTACCCGACTAAATCCTTTTTTTTTTTTTTTTGCTTTTTATCATACAAATAAATCTAATTTAATTTATGTAGGTAGAATTAGAAATATCAGAAGATTCCTAAAAAAAAAGAAAAGAAAGGAATAATTTCATGAAACATTCTGAACTATACAGTACTAATTATATAATATAAGTGCCTCTTCTAACGCTGGTCATTTAAATTCTTCGGGTTTTTTTTTCATAGAGCATGCCTTTAACTAAGAATGAATTCTTTTCTTTTTGCTTATCTTTTGCAACCGAGTTCCCTCTGTCTCACTCGATCAAGTAAATGCCTGCGAAATGAAATTTCCAAGCTAGTTGGGATAAATGCGGAACCATAATATACTCACGATCGATTTCTTGTGTGATAGTGAAAATTTAGAAATGCTACCGAAATGATAAAGACCATTAACAATGAAGTTCACACACCAATTTCAATTCAATCACTCTAGTTAATGTTGTGCTCTTGAACATGACCCCTTGATTTATGTTCCTCAATTACTATCCTAATTATGATGACTTCAGTCGCCTCGACCAATTACAACTAAATGTCTGCTTCCTATTAACGTTCCCAAGCTTTCTTTTCTGACACAAAGCTTTCCAGAAGAACCCCTTTTTCGGACTAGTTGTTAAGTTATTGGAAAGATCCATCACTTTCAAAATGTTATACGCTAAAGATTGAATAGATGTGGAAACCAGTTAGAGGTTTTGACGTGCTTGACTTAGTGCATGATTATTTTTTAGTTAAATTTGATGAGAATGATGACTTTTCCAGAGTTTTAGAGAGTGGTCTTTAACTTAATTACGGTTAAGCCATGGAATCTAGCTTCTCTCTAGTTGATTCCATTGATAACTTTACCGATGTACGGATTAGAATTTCGAATGTATCAGCATAATACTATGATGAGGATCTACTCACAACCATTGCATTATGGATTGGCAAAGGGTCTTTTTGCAACGGTGTGTATTGGGGTTGATCTCGACAAGCCTCTTGTTAGCCAATTGGAACTTGATGGAAAGGTCTACAATATAGAATATGAGGGATTGCACACAATCTGGTTCAAATGTGTTAAGTATGATCATAGGAAAGAAGAATGTTATTTGTAAGCTCAAGGCAAACCGATGGCGGATCCCCAACCTGATTCAGACCATGCTCTAATTTCAGTTCCAATTTCGATTATTTTATCCTAATTAATTAGCTTACCTCTAGGTGCTGATTCAGGATTTAGCAAATGGATGATCGTAGGAAAAAAAAAAAAAAAAAAAAAAGGGCAAGGAAGGGACCTAAATCTTGACAAGCTGATTCAATGGGCAGACAAAAATCTCATGCAAATTCAAATCGACTTGCTTCGCTTATTGCCACGGATTTTGAGGAGAAAAATGTGGAACTGAATATTATATATATGAATAGACCATCTCTCTCTACACTTAGTGATTTTGTTGTTAGGCCAAATCCTGCTATGGATCAGGGACTGCTTCTTCAAATGGACCTAATTTACAAAAAATTGGTGCAAAATAGAACTCTACAAAGCACTTTCCCTTAGTTAAACCTCATGTTTGGGTCTCCAATTCTTCTCCTCTTGTTGCTTTCGTAGCTGAGCAGTTTAGAACTGCCTTCGTAGCAACCCTATTTCTTCTCTGTTTTAAAGGTTATACTCCTCCGGTGGGGGCTAGACCTTTCATATTTTAAGCTGCCTGGATTTTGCATAGTGAATTTGAAGCTGTTGTTGAGCGATCTTAGAGTGCCTCTTATTCTGCTCTTGCGAACTCCCTTACTAGTATGGCTTGTGATGCTTAAATTTTTAATAAAGAACTCTTTGGCAATATCTTTAGAAAGAAAAGGCGTGTTCTTGCTAGAATTTAACAATCTCTGTCTATTCGGCACTCAAATTTTCTATCTGGCCTGGAACGTTGAGCTTCTTAAGGAATATAATTTTATCCTTCATCAAGAGGAAATTTTCTAGTTATAAAAGTCGAGTACAGTGGCCCTAACTGGGAGAGAGGTTTATTCATTCCTTTCATGCTACTACTGTTTTAATGACGTAGAGAAACATGATTGAAAAATTTAGGTTCTTTTTTTAATTTATTTTTAAAAAAACTTTCAGGTTTTTTCATTTTTGGTCTTTAAAAATTTAAAGTAAAAGATTTAATTCCCTACCCGATGCACTACTCATGTCTTTTTTTTTCCTTTGCTTTTTTCTTTTGCTTTTTTCATCTATTTATGTTTTTTTTTATTTAATTAAGTGTTAAAATTTTAAAAAATCAATCGTTGTTTTTTTTTTATATATATATAAATTGACAATTATATAACATTACTCATCCCTTTTTTTCCCTTTACTTTTTTTCATCAATTTACGTTCTTTTTTTATTTGATTAGGTGTTAAAATTTTAAAAAATCAATCGTCATTTTTTTTCCACACAAATTGACGATTATGTAATATATATGATATTTTTTATATTTATATGATATGTTTTTAGATTTTAGAATAAATATAAAGTACTCTTATTGTTTAAAATTGATAAAACTATGCATCTATACATACAATACCAACTATTTGCTAGCTATTACTTTTTTACTATTTAAAATAATTTTTTAAATAAAATAATTGAATTAATATTTTAGAATAACCGCCTAATAATTCAAATATAATTTTATATACTAATATTATTCATTATTTTGTAAATAAATATACATAAATTAAATGTATATATTTTTAAAAAATAATCTTCTCATCGATAAAAAAGTTTCATTTGTTAATTTTCATACAAGTTTTTATACTAATTATTGCTTTAGTTCTTTGATGCAATGTAATGAGAAAAATATTATGTTTTTTTAAAATTTTATATTAAAATTTTTTTATTATGGGTTTTATTTAAGAATAAATGCATAAGAAAGAACAAATCAAATTTTTTGACTTTCAAAATTTATCTTTTATATTTAATGTAATATATTTTAATTAACCGATAAAATAATATATGTTATCAAACTGAAATAAATATATTTAGTTCGGGTCACAGCGTAACGCGAGAATCAAAACTATTCATATGTCTAAAATTCTTATTCACATACTATTCATATGCATAAAATTATTATTCACTTGATGTCAATTTAAGTAATTTTTGTGTGTTATTTTTTATGTGTTTTTAGACATTAATATACAAATTTAACACTTTTTTTCTATTTTTCATCCCTCATATTGAAACATTTTTTTTTAATTCTTAGTTTTTATTTTTCTTTCATTTCCACGTAGCGCCCACACACACACACACTATCTTTTTATATTTTAAAATTAACATGTACTTCAGCTTTTATTACTCTTATCATTTAAATTACATTCTTTGAATTTATCATTTTTTATGAAAATTCTCATCCAATTAATATTTTATATAAGATTTTATTTACTGATAAATATAATTTATTTTTCTCTATATTTGAATTTTAGAATAAAATTTTAAAATATGATTTTTTTCTTTTTTAAAATGTAAATTGGTATAATATATATAATAAATTCTTAGAATTTTTAAATGACGATTGCGATATATAAATATATAATTATTTTATTCTATAAGGTTAAAAGCATATTTTAAATAATTTATCTCAATTCATTAGATATGGTTAAGATATATAAAAAGCTATTGAATCGTTAATTTTATTAAAAATTAACTATACATCTTCCAACATAATACAAATTATTTACTATGAATATATTTTTTTAACATTACGGAACCAATTTATTTGAAATAAAATAATTAAAATAAAATTTTAAAGGAACCAACCAATTATTCAAATATAGTTTTTTATGCTAATTTTGTTGATTATTTTGTAAACGAATATATATATAGATCCAATGCATATACTTAAAAAAAAAAAAAAATCTTCTCACTAACATTAAATAAGAATAAATTTTTATTTTTCATTAGTTAATTTTTATGCAAGTCTATACATTAATTGTAATTTTTTTTTATACATTCTTATAAAAAAATATAATTTTAAAGTATTTGCTTTTGAATTCTTAATTAATATTTCAGGTTTAAATTATTAATAGTTTTATTTAATAACCCCTAAATAAAGAAGAATAAATCACTTTTGTTAAGCAAAAAATTTATGAAAAACACACAAAAAATTATAATAATTAAATAAAAAATTATAAAAATTTTAAATGATTTTGTTTTATCTACCCGTAGCGTTGTATGGATAATTTTAAAAATTAATTTTCTCATTAGCATTAAATAAGAAATTTTTTTATTTATTAATTTTTGTAAAAGTCTGTTTATTAATTATAACTTTATTTTTTGGAATATAAGACTAAGAAAATTATATTTTTATAGTTTGTTTAATTCTTGATTAATATTTTAGTTAAAATTATTATATTTTTTACTTTAAAATCAATTCATAAAGAAAAATGATTTATGTTTCTTAAAGCAAAAAAATTTATTTAAAAAAATTAAATAAAAAATGTTAAATTTCTATTCTAAATCAAGAACTCATTCACGTTATTTGCAGGACTAAAAAGAAGTAATAGGAGTTTGGCTATTAAAATTGATTTAGCGATAACTTATGACACCATTCAATGGAAATTTTTAGGCAAACGCTTTGTGATTTTGGTTTTCCTACGACAATTATTGATTTGTTCTATATGTTTTTGAGTCTGTCTTATCTATCCTATAGAATTGTGTCGTGTCGTTTATCTTCGTTCTCTCTCCTACATGGATTACGCCAACGTGATCTTTTGTCGCCCTATTTGTTTGTCTTGTATGGAGAAACTTTCTCTTTAATTTTATTGAAAGGGAAGTTAGTTTGAAAGCTTGGCAGCCGGTGTCTATTGCTCGAGGTGGTCCTTCGTTCTCCCATCCCTTATTTGAAAATGACGTCGTCCTCTTCTCAAGAACATTAGTTAACAAACCAAAGGTTATCCAGGAGACGCCAGCCTAATTTGATGGCTGTTCAGAAATGATGGTTAATGGAGGTAAGTTAAAACTTTTCTTTCACCTTCTGTTTGTAAGCTTCATAAAGAAACTATGAGGAGGAGATTAGGTGTTACTTTTACTAATGATTTAGGATGATATATACAGGAGTCTCGATTCATGTACGGTATAGCAAAGCTGATTTCAAGCATCTTTTGGAGGAAATTCATAGTCGATTTACTGGCTGGAAAAAACAAGTTATTGAATAGAGCGAGAAGAACTACTTTAAATTAGTCAACTCTTTCCTCGATTTCTCTATGTTATGCAATCTTGTTGGGTATTCACTAGCATTTGCGATGATAATGATAAATGATGTCGCAACTTCTTATGGGTCAGTGGAGGGAGAGTAAGATTGCTTGCTTAGTAAATTATGATGGTCCATCACACAACTGATAATAAAGCTTAAGTTAATTACGTTGTTACTATACTAACTTTAATTTTTTTTCCTCAATTCAATATATGAATTTTATTTTAATTTTTTCGTTTAGTTAGATGGATTTTTTTTTTTTAATTTTCAATCAAGTATTTTCATCTATTTTTCGTTAAATCTTCTATTTTCTGCTTGTGTGCCCTTTGACCAATACTTCAAAAAAAAATGAAAATAAATATTGGTCAAAAAACTTTTAATTTTTCTCAATCAAATACCAATATATATATATTGGTACATCAATTTTTTCTATATAATTTGTCAATCAAGTTAAAAATTCATTAATTTTTTCAATTTATTTTATAGTCACATGCATGATATCTATTTCTTTAGTTAAAATGATAAATATTTCAAATTGTATTGGTAATTAATTTATTAATTTTAATTAATCATAAATAGTTATTACCCTCTTGCCATTAATTAAAAGAGTTTTTTTTAAATGATTTATTTTAATTTTAATTTTTTTGTTTGATAATATAATATTATTTTGGAGGTTACTTTTACTTAAAAAAAAATAGAAAATAAATAATTGACGGAATTTCTTTATCGATACAATTAAAAAACGTAGACGTACCAACATAAAAAAGATTAAATCTATATACTTAATTGGGATAACGTAAAAGTTGCTGCTCTAAGAGCAAGTTAAGGTCAAAAGATACATCTACATCATATATTTTGAAAAAAATTGATATAATCAGTAAAAAAATAATTAAAATCCATATATAGGATTGAGAAAATGTGCAAAATTAAAGCGTAATTATCCCAAATATAATATAACAAGAACATTACATTAACATGTTCAACTCAGCAGGACAGAACTTAAAAATAACTGTTTTGAGAAAGGATCTCAAAATATGGTAATTTTGTGTTTTTTTTCTGAAGTACAATATCACTTCCTCTATTACAATGTTGCATTTTCCAAAAATATATACATATAGCCTTACAAAATTACAGTGCAATCAAGAAAATTGATAAGTCTAACTAGTTCTGGTATTCATTCCCCTTTCTTCTAAAAAGTCTGGAATATATATATAGATGCAGATGGACTTTGATCATGCTGTCCTTGGCAGCTGATTGAGAAGACTTGAGATTGGATCATTATCGGGCAAAAGCATTTTAGTTTTAAACACTGTAAATACTGCCAAACCAAGTGAGACCAAGACGGAGAGCCCAGAAAGCAGAAGCATTAAAGCATTTGCAATGCCTCCTTTCACTTCTTCTGCGTAATCCCTCGAAGCGAGTGCAAGGACAGTCAACGGGAACGAGTAAGCCCACCATGCAACATTGAACCTTCTCATAGATCTCTTGAAGAGATTAGGTCTACAGATCTGATTTACATGTCAAGAAATTAATTATAAGTGAGAATGAAACTATATAATTAACAGTGAAAGATTCAATGCTACATCAATTAATTAGTTTTACTGAATTGCATATATCAATTAATGCAGCAAATTAATAATTTTATTTCTGAGGCATTATAAAATAAACTTATTGCAGTACTTTTACTTATCAGTGTACGTATAGACAAGTAGGCAGGATAGATTATATATAGATACTGGGGCCAAACATTCACAATATTCTATCGAATTTAAAAATAGTTTGCTTGTCTCCATTGTTTGTACATGGAATAAGTTTAGTCCTATTCAAATTAGTCAAACCTTCACCAGTTGTACGGTTTTGTCCTACGCATCAAAACAAAAACCAAAGCCAAAGCCAAAGTAACCCTAGAGCATATTCATATATTTAATTTAGTATTCAATGAAATCACGCAACTCGTAAGTCGTAGTTGTGAATTTCAACGAATAAGATTTTGTGAATAAGATGTATTTAATAGTTGCAAAGTAGGTCGCTGTCTCGGCCACATTTTCTAATTAGTACAGCAGTTGAATTGATTACTTACCAGAGACGTGAAGAGGAAGAGGGAGAGAAAGAAGAGCATCTTTGATGCAGTATCAAAAGCTCCATTTATGGACTCCCAAGCCAAGCTTGCCATACTTGGTGCTGCAAAGAACAAGAAAAAAACTGGCCTTAACATAGCTGGAAGCCTGTCACCACCATGTAAACGCTGATAAAGTGTAACAAACAGCACCAAATAATGGACCATGCCAAGGGAAAACAAGAAAACAGCACTCTCTTTCCACCCCATATTAGCTGCAGCTTGAGCACCAACCAAGTTTCCAATGACTGATAGCTGGCTTGTTGGATTTGCAAAAGTTGGCAGAAACCTCTTTCCTTTGGTGAACCATTGGCCATAAATTTTAACATCAAGTGCCACTATTGGAACTGCAAATACCCACCAAAGGACAAGGTAGGATACAGTCTTTGGAGCAAGAAAGGGCGCGGATTGAAGCAAAAGAAGCCAAGAAATCCAGGGAACAAACAGATAATTAACCCCTACACGATGCCAGAATTCGGCTTCCACCATCTTGAAGAAAAATATACATCTCAGGATGTAAAGGAAAGAAAGTGAAGTAAGGATTAGGAAAGCAAGAGACCACAGCACAAGAAATCCCGCAGAGTAAATCAGATGGAACATATGGTGCAGACGGTTGGTGTCGTCAATTGTTGAAATAATTAGCGTCTTGAATAATAAAGTTTGGCCACCTAGAGATAGGCCAATCCTGAAATAACCTGCATGAAATTTTGTTAAGATGGATATTAGGGATGACTTGATTCTGCCCATAATTATATTGCTTGAGGGGTCGGTCTGCTGATCTTGATCAGTACAAGTGGCACTATTAGATGTTTGGACTACTACCTCAATCTCGAATTGGGTTGCCATTGATAGCTAATATTTATGTTACTAGCAAGCAGCCAGCTAGTAGTTTCTGTATTTGTGGGTTTATTGACATTTGCAAACGGTGGTAAGGTTTTTTATACAGCAAGACGCCGCAGGTCAGAGTTAATCAAGGAAATGCATGCATTAGTTAAAAAAAGTTTAATTAATATCGTATATGAATAGAGTAATGGTTAGAGAACCATTTAAATTATATTTTATGGTCTCAATTGATATTTTAAGTTTTTAAGTTAAAATAATCATTTTATATGATATTAAAGTTTTGACGATTAAGTGATCACAAGTTTAAATTTCATTATTTCTATTAATTTTTTTAATTAAATATAAATTAGTATCAGTTTTTATTAGAGAGAATATATTAGAGATAAGACTTCACCTATATAATATAAGCTTTTGGATTGAGTTGAGAAGAATAAACTAATAATAAAGATATACAAAAGCTTAATAACTTAAGATTTTGAATTAAAATAGTATTAAGAATGAAAGAATAGTAGAGACAAAAATAGTTAGGTGGTCATGTTTAGCGTTGGTCCCCAACTAATTATCTACTGTATACATCTAGTTTTGAGGATTAACGTAAGCTTATGAGGAAATTAATGTTTTGGTAAAGACGAGCTTATCTAATGTGCAATCTGTATCTCTAATTGCAATACTCCTCCTTATTCTTAAAAAAAAAAAAAAAAAAGTTCCTCGCCTCTTTGTCATTTTTTTCCCTATAAAAAAACCATATCATTTTGAAAATGTGCAATGCATCTTGAAATAATAAGAGTAAAACTGGCAATATTATTATAAATTGAATTCATACAGATACTACTCCACTGGATAGCACATACGAAGAGAACGTGCTGTTTTTATTAATTAATTTTTATAACCTAAATTTACGGTGGGTGGCTTACGCTGCACGTTTATCTTCTTCTTCTTTTTTTTTTTGCTATTCCATAAATTACAGTTTTAATAAGAATTCATTGAAATAATTACACGGTCTTAATTTTTTTTTTTCACAAAATGTAACAAAAAAACTGCATTTAGCCGTTAATGCATGGGATACAATGTGATCTGTGTAACTATTTTGAGATTTTTTAGGAACTAACTCAAAAATATCTATCATTTATTTATTTTTTAAAGTTCTACGAATCAAACATTATCACTTGAGGATAATGCAAAAAAAATTGAACGGGTAATCATATTGGCAGTTCCTATTAGTTAGTTTAGAGGTAGAGGTATTGTCAATGAGTTGCTTGTAGTTTAAATAACTGTTTTATATATATATATATATGGGACCCTATTTTGAGAGATTTTGGATTCGAAATTTTTTTGGAAAAAAATAAAAAACCTAAATTGATAAGATAAAATTAATGATGCATAAATATAAATACTTGGGAATTCCACCTGATAAGACAACATACGAAAATTTGGAGAACTAAACTCCTTCTCGTAGAAGGGTTTTATGGGCTTGACTGCTGCTTGTTTTGGAGTATAGAAGGTTGGCGCTCACAAACTGGGCTCTTTTGTCTAAAAATTGGAGAGCTAAACTTGTAAATCTGGACCGTTTGGGGTTTTTCTTTTTTCATGCACAAAATATTTTTAGGCTAACTTTTCACATACAGATGGTGTTAAGTTAGATTTGGTAAAAGATAGGCTATGGTTATTAATTTATCTTTTAGAATCTGATTTAAAATGTGAACTATGATGATTAAAGAGGATTTGTATCTTATTATAATTTTAAGTATGAATTAGTAAAATAAAAGCATTAAACATGTGACATTCTTTCTCCAACGATTTTGTTTGAGGTTATTTAAAAAAAAAAGAATTTCCCATCATCAATTCCTTTACTTAATTAGTTTTTTTTTTTTTTTTTTTTGGTTAGTTGGTTTAGATGAAGACACATTGAAGTCAAAGTTTTCCTAAGTATTAAAACCATTTTTTTTTCTTGGGGAATGACAAGTATTAAAACTTGATAAAGGTACTTAACTTAAACCAAAAGGGCCACTTTTAGACGCTATTGACCTTTTATATATAATAACAATAGAGAGAGAGAGAGAGAAGATTAACCTAATGTTTTCAGTATTTAGCTGTCTGCACATTCGGCCCATCTTCGGCCTTTTTAGTTGTAAACTGGACTTGTGCTATTTACGAAATCGAAAAGGAAAGGAAAATGAGAAGCAAGTAGTGTCCACTATCCACTCTAATCTAATTCTAATCCAATGCAAGTTTACACAGCAGAGGAGAGGAGAGCAGGGTTGCGTTCAGTTCGTCCCCCCTCCTGTCCCTCACAATTTGTGACTGAGTTGAGTTGAGTTTTCTTCAACACAGGGAGCTGATATTTAGTCACTGTAAGTAGCTCTATGTTGCTGCACCCGCCAATTTCACCCTTGAGCTATCACTCTACATGTTTGTAATAATTGAACAAGGGTTACTTCTTTGCTGCTCTCTGCTTCAATCATTTTTACGTAACGGGTTTCGTTTTTTGGTCTCTATAGAAATTGGGTCTCTTTCAAAACTTGTATAGAGAGATGTAATTGGATTTTGTTGGTCCAGTTTTCATGTTTATAAGCTGTTTGTTAAAATGCACCGAGTACAAATTATGTTGAAGTTTATGTTAATACTTGTTAATTATTTCAATTTAAAAGCTTAAATGTCTTTTTCTAACTAGATAACTTTATTTATAAGGACCCAGAGAAGAGCACTTAGGGCTCTTTGTTTTGTTTCTACTATTTGAGCTAATAAAGCATGTATCTTTAGTGCTTCTTCCATTTTGTGTTACTCTATCTCCGATGGTGAGTGTTATTAGCCTCGTAAATCATCATTCAGTTTTGGAAACATTCACCCTCTCTATTATTTAGTTCAAAAGTGAAAAAATTGAAATAATTGGACAATAACTGAGGACACTTCCCATGTAAGCCAGCTGGTTTTCTAACTTCAATTTCACGCTTGGTGATTTTTTCATCTGACTTGGACTTTTGTTTTGTTGTCTATTATTTTTTCTTAAAGAATTTTTCTATGATGATAGAAGGATTAGCTGCATACTGTTCATGAATATAGAGTATATCATTCAGTTTCTAAAGAGTTCACCTTGAATAGGCAAAAACTTTGCTGGTTGCTTCAGTGCTCCTGCATTGCCTTTATTCACCTTTTCCTTTTCTTTAAGGTTGTTTCGGGTGTTATTCCTATAGAACTTTCTGAGTCAGCAATTCATTTAAAAGCCATTTAGAACTGTTTCTAACTAGCAATGCATCATAGTTTTAAAACATTAACAGGATTATGTTATGAGATGTTACACGACGTAATCATTAGCCTGACCAACAACATACATGTAGCAATATGTTGAAAATGTTCTGTCGCTTCTTCTCACTTCAGTTATTTTAATGGTATACAACAATATCTTATTGCTGTCACTTTCGTTGCATATGTGCCAAGTATATGTTTCAATATGTCGAGTGCTTGTAACTTTTAAGTAGGAGCTGTCTGTGTTAAATAGAACATTAGAATCATGTAAAATATTAGTCTGTTTTTCTCTAATGTCCTTCAGTCTGAACTGTTTTTCATTTTTTTTGCAGATTTAGTTGCTACCATTGACTTCCTCTAATTCATCTCGATTTCACCCAAATCATATGATCAAGAATTGCATAACTATTGCCTTGAGCATTTTTCATACTAAAAGTTTGTTTTAACCCCCTCTCCGTTCACATAATAAACAAAAGATCTTTATCACCTCTTCTCCAATAGAACTTCTCCTAGCTGAGTATAGGAAACCAAGATGGTACTTGTTTTCTCCGCATCCTCTATAGTTCTATCCTCACACATTAACCAATTTAAATTACATGATTTGGTCTTCCAAAAAAATTTTCTATCAAATCCAAGCCTTTCCGTTGTTGATTGCAAATTTTCGAGGGGTATAAGAAAGAGTGTATGTAATGTTTTTAGAAATAAATCACCAAGAATTCGAAGGTTTACTGCAAGACATGCCGCAGACCCTAACAGTCAGACATTTAATGATGTATCTTTTAATTGGGATGATGAAGAGCAAGAAGACACTCAAGACATGGGATCTCCGTGGGAAGGTGCCATTATTTACAAGAGAAACTCTTCTATTTCACATGTCGAGTACTGTACAACTTTGGAACGGCTTGGGTTAGGAAAACTTTCAACTGAGATTTCAAAATCAAGGGCTTCGGTAATGGGATTACGTGTAACGAAGGTTGTAAAGGATTACCCATTTGGAACTCCTGTTCAGATCTCCATTGATGTGACAAAGAAGAAGAAAAGGTTGAGGCTTGATGGGATCATCAAAACTGTCATCACTCTTGGTTGCTATAGGTATTTTAGATTCTGATCCTTCTTTTCCAGTGGACTTATATTTGTTTTTTCCCTGCATATTTATGTTTTATCTTTTCAATTTTACGATTATTTCGCTTCAGTGTTTTACTTTTAGGCACTCATTAAATTTCATTTTTGCTTCTTCCATATGCCATTCCTCTTTTTTTTTTTTTTTTTTAATTTCCAGATGTACCCAACAATTAGAGTTGAGAATAATTATCGAAAGCTAATCAGAGTGTTTATTCACTGTGTAGTTTTTCGTGTTGACTGTTTGGAATTAATTGTATATGATTAACTTTGTGAGAGGTTTATGGGAGCTGGAAATTTCTGCCCAATTTGACTATTTTAACATATCTAATTCTGGTTGTCTTTTGTGTGATTTTTATTATAGCATCTATGAAAAGCTACAAATAGCGTCTTCGGTCTTTCGGAAGTGGAAAATTTTGTTTTCTGTTCCTATCAATGTGGTGGTGTAGTGTGCCTATGCAATTATCTTAAAGTCGGATTGTAAAGTATGCTGCTCACAACATGAGTCTGAAAGATATGTGATCATATTTTATAACTGCAAAATATTGTACTTTTTGAGTTTTGATGAATTACTAATCATGGTTTAGTATGTCGCCAGCCCTAAATAGAACTACATCTTCAATTTCTACGAATAATTCAAAACCATATGACAGTATGATTAGTAAATGGGCTATGCAGCAACCAGTCAAGCCTTTTGATTTACTTTCCCAGCCATCGCCAAGTTTTAATTGCTATCACTTTGGATGTAATAGAGTGTAGTCTCTGAGAAAAGAGGTAGATTTAGGCACACTGTTTGATCTATGCTAGCAAGAATTTCATAGGTTGCCTTGACCATGTTTGCTTGTTGGATGCACTTAACATGAGAATATATTTTAGGACAGTGATTGGTGGAATTTACATGCAGCAGTTGATACTAAAGACGTTTTACCTGTCTGAATAAAATAATTTAACCAGTTTCTGAAATTTTCGTGTTTTCTTTTGATGTCTGACCACATAGATTATAGGTGTTAGTATTCATCTTGAACTTCATTTAAAAGTATTGACAAAAAATTGAGAATACAATATCGTTTCATTTGATCCCAAAAATTCTCCAGGTGATAATCTTAATCTGTTGGCAAAATTTTATGTTGCATTACGTTTCACAACATACTTTGTGCTCCCTTATTGTTCTTCTGTAATTGAACCTAGTTGTTTCTGATTTATTTTGAAGGTGTGGAGAGCCAGTTGCCGAGGGCATTTTCTCCAACTTCTCTCTTTTACTATCTGAAGAACCCATTGCAGAACCAGAGATTATTAATGTGGGAACAATATTTGGTAATAATAAATTCAAATCTTCAATTGGCAAGGAAGAAGACGATGATGAAGCTTCAATCGATTGGGATGATCGGTTGCACTTTCCTCCTGACAATAAGGAAATTGACATATCAAAGCCCATCAGAGATATGGTGCACGTAGAAATTACTATTGATGCTATATGCGATCCAAGGTGCAAAGGTTTATGCCTCGACTGTGGTACAAACTTGAACAAAAGCAGTTGTAACTGTAGAAAAGAGGAGAAAGGGAGAGGTTCCGGCCCTCTTAAAGATCTGAAAAAACAAATGCAGTCAAAATCTTAGTGTAATTGCCCTCAAACATAGCTATAAATGCCTGATTATGTTCAATGTTCATCATCTTTCATGTTCATTTGCAAGTGGTGGAATCTGTTTTTAAAATGTTCTACAGGACTGCATTTGAATCAGGACACACCACGCTGACATATGCATTGTTCGTACGTTTGTAAAACAATTGCAGACCCCTTTCAAATGTTCATAACAGATAACAATATTTTTCAGGACCCCGTCCACTACTTCCAAGTTTACAACGTCTGACACTTGACACTGGATGAGAGATGATTCACTGGTTCCAGCGTGGACGCTGGATAAGAGATGCAAGAAGCCCCCGATTTCAGCAACCACTTAGTTCAAAAACCCAAATGTAGAATAACTAGCACCCCTTTCAAATAGTTGCCACTTCTGAGTATGTATTACTCCTAGTCGAATGCATTAAACTCCCTAGACAAATCTGGTATGAGATCAACGTAGTTCCAGAGTACTGTATCTTGTGTCTTGTTAATTTTAGCCACACAGCTCCACTTCCTTCGCCAAACCTTTAGCAATCCTTACTGAAATTGATGAGATGAGGAAATTGAAACACATAATTGCTTGTCTAGTTAATGAAGCAAGTACTCCAGAGATGACGGTCTCACTACAAAAAACCAGCGAATCTTCAGTGCCAAACACAATTTCAACCTTCCAGCTAACTTGAGACATTAAATAGCTAATATTTATGTACCTGCCTCACGCCATTGTTCTTAATTATGTTCTTCGATTGTTGGGTGCCTTCTCCCGTGCTTTTGAAATTTATGACCATATTATATATATATGGGAATGAACTCAAGGATCTGAAGATCTGTGTTACAGCACTTCCCAGCATTGTATCCCACTTCCACAGGTCATATAGCATTAACGACTTTGCTATGGCTCCCCTCTTCATCTACAGGCTCAGCAGGTATCAGGTAATTTTGTTTCTCCTTCCTTTATTTTTGTTTCTTCGCTAGTTTGCTTGCTGTAGATGTTGAAGTCACCCTAGGTTGTTGTACAGCAACGTCCAAAATGAGACTTAAGTACTGCTGTTCGATAGGAACAGAAACAAAATCTCACATTTATTAATTAATGGTTTAATGGCAAATTTTACTAGTATTCTATTGTGATTTGATAATTTTAAACTTATAATATTAAATTACATAATTTAAATCCTAAAGTATTAGAGATTAGGTAATCATCATCTAAATTGCCTAATCTTTGTTATGTGTAACGATCAATTGGATCGACAGTTAATTAGAATGTTAAAACGACGACATTTTGATATTTTGTTGTTAATTATGTTTTTTAAAAGAATTTTAAAAAATATTTTAACCTATCTAATCTTGAACTTTTTTTAAAAAAAAATCTTATAAATTATATAAAAAAACATTTTATAAATATTTTTAAACCCCTAATTTTGAACTTTTTTAAAAAAAAATACTGTTGTAAAAAGACATAATTAACAATACACAATTTTAAGCTTTTTTTAAAAAAAATTATAAATTAAAATATTTTAATTAATTATCATTTCAGTTGACCTTTACACATAACGAATATTAGGCAATTTAAATGATATTTGTCTAATCTTTAATACTTTGAGGTTCAAATTAAGTAATTTAACACTATAAATCTAAAAGTGTCAAATCATAATAAAATGAAAATAAAATTTGTCATTAAACCATTAATTAATAAGGTATGGCTTTGACGTACATGGAGTAATTAAGCAATTTTCCACTTTCCTGTGATTATGCCTTTTTTCCGAACACGTTATTAGAGAGAAAAAATTATATGACTAACGTACACATCTGCATAGTTGTATAAAAACACGATGAGCTTTTCTTTTTTTTTTTTGGTAGTTTTGTGTCTGCATTTTCATGACTGTGGACCTAATCTGGGATTATGATGCATGTCATGTTGATATCTTTTTTTAAAAGAGCTATTGTTTGAAGGGGATTCAATTGTCAAGAAGGTGTTCTTGAACAGACCTAAGAAGCTAACTGTCTTCAATTACACGCATGTAAAATTTTAATTACTTGTACGAATGATGTCAAAGCAGAACAAAATTCATATACATTTTATTTAGTGAAAAAGGTGATCAATAATTTTAAATAGCAGATATTATATAACAATAATAGGACATTTTGATATCTTTACTCAATATTATAGATATTTCAAAATTGTTTCATAGGTATAGAGATAAATGACGATGTTATTGTTATATAGTGCCATTACACGTAAAAAATCAAACTTCTATCCTAATTAATCATCAATGCACAAGATGTGAAAAAAGAAGGAAAAAAAAAAACAAATGAGACTTGCAAGAAAAACTGGTAGAGAATCTGAGGCAAAAAAAAAGAAAAAAGAAGAAGGATGTGAGTTGAAGAGGAACAGAAGAGGGGAGAGAGAGACCAGGAAAGGAAGACGTGATGGAGAGAGAGAGAATTCTACATGGAAATATACGCACGTGATATTTACAATTAAAGGCCGGAGGTATGCAAGCTTTAATTGAATAAACTATAAATTAGTCTCTTTAATTTGAAAAAGTAAATTAATTAGTTCTTCTTGTTTTAAAAATCAAATTTTTTGTCCATTTTATAGTATTTTATAATTTTTTTCGTTTTTATTCTAAAAATAAAAAATAAAAAATAAATTTACATCGTAAAAAGATTGATGAAAAATATTTTATAAAATAAAATAATATTACATAAAACATGATCAAAACTCATTTAAAATTAAATAATTAGTTTATTTTAAAAAAGACTAATTAATTTGTTTATCTAAACTAAAAGGACTAATGTGCAATTTACTCATTGTTGTTCAATCAAATTTCAGGTTGCGAGATCCACAGGAAAGTAGGCTTTTATTGAGCAAATTATAAATTAGTTCCTTTAGTTTGAAAAATTAAATTAGTTAGTGCTTCTTATTTCAAAAACCAATTATTTAATTATTTTTGTCTCTTTTATTTTATTTTCTAATTTTCTTTCCTTTTTATTTTAAAAAATAGTAAAATAAAAAAATATATTTATATCATAAAAAAATGATGAAAGAAAATATTTTATGAAATAAAATAATATTACAAAACATAGTCACTACTAATCAAAAGATTAAATAATTAGTTTATTATTTTTTATGTCATATTAATCTATTAAAAGTGTTTTATATATATATATAATAAATTCTTTTTTTTATGATATCAAACTATTAGAGAAGTTATTTATTAGCATGCTTAATTAATAAAATTGTTAAAAAATATGAATTAGAATAAATTTATTAACAATTGTTGATCTATTCACGATATTAACTATCATAATCATTATTTTACTACTATGATCGTAATTATTTTTTCAACTGCGGTGATTATTTAAAACTATCATATCTCCACGTTATTAAGACGGTGAATTCTTTCCCTTGTTCTGTATTTATGGCTTGAAGGCCTTTGAGAATGACTCTACGGTAACATGAAAAGTTAGTGACCAAACGTTCAAGAATGACTCTACACTCGTTTTAGCTTAATTCCCATCGTTTTTTAACATAGAAGCGAGTACACGGGATCGAGTTCGACATTCCTTTGATCTCTTTGAGTGGATGTAAAATATCATTTTGAAAATATATACTGTGATTGGTAATTGGCACAGTTTTGTGTCATTACAAAAGAGAATTTAGGTTGATTACAAAATAAAATAAAGAGATATTTCATCAATAGTACATTTCTTTCACTCTAACACTATTCGTATATACCTATAGTAACTATTTACCAGGTGACATTATTGTGATTTTTAATTTTTATATTTGATATGCAAGTTTTAATAAATATTGTATTTTGATTTTTAATATTTTTTTTAAATTTTTTATATTGATTTTCAACCTCATTTATATCGCTTTTTGGTCTATAAATATAGAAAAAAGAGAGAAATAAAAAGAAGAGGGGAGAGAAAGAAAGTCAAAATGAGATCTGTTTTAGCCACTCTATAGTCAATCTTTGCTTCAGTTTGTTTGTCAAAGAATTTGTCTACCATCAAAGTTATAAAAATAATTGAAAAAAATAGATCAAAATCATAAAATAGTTTGAATTTTTTTTATTTTTTTTATGTGGATCAAAATGAGTTTCAAGTTCTAAACTAGTTTTTTTAACCTTATTTTAATAATTTTAAAGTGTTTTGAGAAAAAAAAAAAAAAAAGGACGCTGAAATTAGATTTGAAAGATCAAAAACTAATGCTCTCAATTTTTTAACGATTTTTTTGACAAACTTGAGCGTGCTGAAGGTTGTAGGCAACCGTAGTCTACTGTACACAACACGAGCAATACGCCATCCTACACTCACACACAAATATATATGTAGGCGGCTATCCCGCACGAGCTTGGTTCTCCGGGCCCAAAGGCATAAGCCTAGCTGCTGCTTCTTTTTTCCCCTTGCTTTTCTCAATTATTGAATTTTGTGCAAAAATTATAGAAAATCGATTATTATTTTTAGAGTTTCCCACACACTCGAGCGAGGAAGAAATATATACAGTATATTTTCAGATTTTATAATAAATATGTATTTCAAATTATATTATCCTTGTTATTTAAAATTTATTCCTTCAATTGGTTATTTTTTATAAAAAAATCTAATCCAAATAATATTTTATTTATTGACAAATATGATTTTTTTTTTATGTTTGGATTTTAAAATAAAATTTATGAACGTGATTACTTATTCTTTTTTAAAATATAAATTAATATAATTTTACTATGGATTCTAATACTTTTTAAATAAGAGTAGCATATATATATGTATATATATATATACATATATGTATATATATATATACATATATGTATATATATATATATGTATATATATATATAAAGGTTTAAAGTGTATTTCAAATAATTTTTCTCAAATTTTTAGAAATATGTTTTTAAAAAACCAGATAACAATAAAAAGTAAAAGATAAAAAATAAAAAGAGAAATGATTCTTATGTGTGAGATGCATGTACACAAGGATTAGACGTATATGTTCTAGAAAAAATAATAAAATTCACATATTAAATTTACTTCTTATAATCAAAATTTATCGAAATCAATTTTATAGTAGTTTTTATTTCAACCAATTAACTTTAAATTTATTCAACATATTCCTTATAAATTAAGTATTTTTTAAAGTATTTTTCATTTTATATTGCAAGCTCGAATCCACTCGGTATAATCATAATTTATAATTCTTAGTTTTGTTAAAAATTAACCATAAATCTATACACATAACGCTGGTCATTTACTATTTTTTTTTTGGATATTCTGAAATCAATTCCTCTCAAATAATATAATTAAAATAATGAGTTAGAAAAAACACCTAATGATTCAAATAAAGTTTTTTATGCTAATAATATTGATTATTTTGTGAATAAAAATATATAAACCTAGTGTAAATACTTTAAAAAAAAAACATATTCTCATGAATCTCATCAACATTAAATAAAAATAAGAAATTATTTTTCATTTTTATTTTTATGAAAGTTTTTATGTTAATTGTTACTTTATTTTTTCAATACAATCTTATGAAAAAATATTAAGATATTTTTTATTTTAGATTATTTTCATGAATCTCATCAACATTAAATAAAAATAAGAAATTATTTTTCATTTTTATTTTTATGAAAGTTTTTATGTTAATTGTTACTTTATTTTTTCAATACAATCTTATGAAAAAATATTAAGATATTTTTTATTTTAGATTATTTTTAAAAAAATCATAAGTTTTTTTTTTTTTTTTATATGAATCTATATACAATGAAGAGCAAATCATTTTTTTTTTTTTTTGAAGTTAGAAAATTTAGGAGAAACATGAGGAATTTAAATGCAGAATTTTAATTAAAAAATTATAAAACTAAGAGAAATTTTTTATTTTTTTATTTTTGATTCTATAAATTTTGATGGACACACAATATAGCACGAACTATCAAACTAAAATAATTTTTTTAAATGATTTTATCTCGCCTAGAATATGACGCGAACTATCAACTTAAAATAATTTTATTTGTTTTGTTCCACCTTCAATGCAGCTCACAAAACAAATTAATCAAATACTAATATGGGTTGAGATAATTATAATATACTTTAAAAGTTAATCGTATAACCTAGGAACTAACAAAATAAATCATTACAATATTTGCTTTTATTATATTTTATTTTTTTCAATTCTGCAAAATCCGAATTGTTAATTTTTTTTTTTTTTAAGGCTATAGGAGTTGCTTGCATTGGAGAATGCACTCCAAACCCTAGGCTCATCAGATACAACAGCCACTTGCGAGGTTATCAATAATTTTGGTCCCAAGCCAACTACAAAAGATGATAGTGCTCTCGAAAGGTCATGATCAAGACTCACCGCCCCACTATATTGTTAATTAGTGCATTTTAATCAACATTTTGTATTAGTATTAATCATAATGTGATCAACGTGATCCTCGAAGTGAAAAACGTAGTAGAAGTTGACGAACTTCAGTAAGTTTTGGTGTAATGGTGGTTGTGCTGAGACATATCCTATAATGTCGAAGCTCTAGGAAACCTAGGAGTAGGGATGGCAATAGGGCAGGACGAGACAGGGATAGCCATCTCCATCCTTGCCCGATCTCCTAAAAAAAAAAAAAACTCATTCTTACCTCATGCTTTGTTTAGAGCAAAATTTCGCTCCTCATCCCTGCCCTAAACGAGGCAAGATGGAGTGAGACTCACCTAAATTTATCTTTTTTAAAAGACGAGATAGAGTGAAACCCACCTAAATTATCTTTTTTAAAGATAAAAAAAACGAGATGAGGTGAAGATCGTCATCCTCATTCCTGCCCTCACCCAAGGAAAAAAAAAAAAAAAAACCCATTCTTGCCTCATATCTCATTCGGAACAAAATTTCACGTCCCATCCCCGCCCCAAACGAGGCGGGACGGGACATGTTAGAATGCCATCCCTACCTAGGACTGTTTACAGGCAGGGCAACATTTGTTTATATTATATTATCAGTGGCGAGTAGATTTTGGATTAACAGTACTCTAAAAGCCAATTTCTTTCATTGACTAAATTTGTTACGATGAGTTTTCAAATGAATTACTATCACATATCTGAACAATGAACAGATCTACGAGGAAAATTACACTTATAATGCCTCAAATTAGAGAAGCCAAAACTTTCTTGCCGCTGACAGAATATTCCTCTGCTAAAGACCATGAATTTACATAGAGAAAGACCTGTGGGGAAAAAAATAAAAATAAAAAGATAAAAATGAGCAACTTTGTAAATCATCCCTGATACGCGAGAAGGAGATTGTCTCCCAACCTGTAAAAACCAGGTAACATCAACTGAGAAGTCTAATTCAGTTTAAGATGCTAAATTAACAAATAAGCACAAACAAATAAAAAAATGGAGATTTCACATCAACAAGAGAACTGACTTGATATTAATCTACACTATGTTCTTAAATCATTTACTTAAAAATGATTTACATGGTTTTCTTTAATCTTTGAGAAAAAAAAAAAAAAGGCACTTAAACTACATCTAAACGAGCACTCTAATTTTGAAGGATAAAGATTCAAAGATCATATGACAAACAGTAAGCCAAGCCACAAATATATGGGGACTTGTGTGGCTAGGCCCAGGATTGTGGAATTCTAGTGCATCGTGGCACTTGGTTATGGACTTATAGACTACCATAGAAAGCTTGTACTTATGATTCTAATTCGAAGCTGAATTAAAGTGAAAGGGTTTTCAGAACTACCTGATCGAACAAGCTCATAGTATGCTTTACCGAGTCAGATCAAGGGTTGAAGAAACTTGAACCATCCATAGTGAAAGCAATTAGAACTAATATACTTGTAATCACAGCAAACCAAACTAAGACTGATCCTGCAATAACAAGTTGTCAAAAATGTGCATCACGAGACAGCAAGTTAGACCAACCTTGGATATATGATGCTTTTACATATTGAATGTTCACGTGAATAATAATAGAGACACAAAATAAAAACATTACCAGCAGAACCTTCAGAACTGTTACTGCTATCTGAGGGCACTGATTCAGCATTAAGACTACGTGATGGCAACATTGTAGATCCTGCACCTGAGGCATCATTTGAAAGTTTGTTATTTCCTGTCTCAGACGCCACTATTCCTTGAAATTCCTCACTCACGATCAAAGCTGCTAGAACATCCATAAATGACTCTTTATCCATCTCACTTGAAGAATCCCTTCTATTAGGCTCATAAATAGCATTTGATTCATCAGAATCGGACATCTCATCATCTGAAATATCTGTATCAATATGCTCCACCTCATACTTATCATCATCTTCATCCTCAACATAGGCTTTATAAGTTAGTCGAAGGAGTATCTCTCCAGAAGAAGCCTTTCCGAACCATCCCCAACCTCCTTGTAAAGCCACAATCTTGTCTGTTGGTACAGTGTCTTGCAGAGATCCCAGATCAACCTGTAAATGTTATTGAATTTAGAAAGCCATATTCGTGAGAAATGAAAGGATGTCACAGCAACAAATTGCAATCAAAAGTTCCGAATCCTGCACAAATTGCCCAACAAATGCAGCCAAATTACAGCATGAAGATCAAATAATAAAACTCCTAGATGAAGAAAAGAGTAAATTTTGGGTACGATCCCCAATACATCAACTCCTAAACTTGCTATTGCCACCCCTCTGACCACTATTCCAAAAACACAACCATGATCCTCTTTACCACCACACAATTACTGCCTCCACCTTGACCACCATCACACCATCATATCACCCCACTGCCATCATTCCATTAACCATGCCAGCCATCACTGTCACCAATAGCACCATGATTATTTCAATCCCCAGAATCAACATGCCACTGCACTGCAATGAAACATCAACTAATACCAAGACCATTAAAAGAATGTTTTTGTTATAAAACAACCACATCCATTTCTTCTCTTTACCAATACCACTGTAACAAGCAGGCAGGTTCTATGAAATCTACTATAAACATCAATTCTTTTGAAATTAACACTAGTGTTAATTCCAGTGTAAATTTAAAAAGAAATTACAATGTCATTACAGTCTACAGAGCACAAAACCAAACATTTGATTGGATATCAAAATATCAATTCCTATGCTAAATTTGCTAGCAACTGGATTTTTAATTATTCATTAAAATTTATGTTACCTCACTTGCCCGAGGTAAATCTCTAGGCATGCAATCTTATGCATATAAGCAACCCACTGAAGAGGTTATGTGTAATTAAAAAAAAAAAAAAAAACCCTCTATATTCTATTTGATCAACCATTCAAGACGTTCAAAGAAAACACAAAGGACAAATTTGTGCAAGTAAACAAGAGTTGTTTGGAATAAGAAAGTTTACCTCTCCTGTACCAATAGTTAAATATGTGAATCCAAGAGAGTCTTTCACTTGAATGTTCAATTTTTGTTTCCTAGGGTTTGCAACAAGCATATGAAAATCCTGGCCAAAGTCATAAAACACAATTATCTCACGAATTTACAACAAGCATACGAAAAGCATCTAAATGATGAATATTTCTGGTAAACAAAATTGTTTGCAAATACATGAAAAAAGGGAGACGGAGAATCACCTGATTCCAAATGGGTTCACCCGGAGGCCCGATGACAGTGGTTTGACTGTTCTTTTTACTGCGCATACTTTGATTTCCCAGGCTCAAAATAACATATGGGTCAGTTTTACCTAACAAACAACAGATAAATTATGGGTAATAGACGTGGAATAGAATCTGTATATGAGAATTAAGATACCCAAACAGTCAAAACACCTATGATCAAGAGGCATGACAGATATCAGGCTAGGGAATGCAATAGTATTATGTTTGTGACCTTATAAATAATGACATCAACAAAATGTAGTAATGCATGTCTAAAGAGCACAGACCAATGTGAAAGAATCAGAACAAACAAAATACTGAAATACTTGTAAATGGGTTGAAAGACAGATGTATGGCAGCCCTCTACTTTTCTAACTATTTCTGAAGAATAAAAAATGGTTCTTATTCAATCATCCAAACAGGTGTCAAACACTAGGCAGAGACATGTTTGGCACAATAGTCATCATCATAGATGATAACAGAACCATATGAACCAATTGTTATAGATCTAACGGAAGCTTAAATCCTACATCAATAGAGATGTTGAGGAAAAAAAATTCAACCTAAAGGATAGACATCCTTTGCAATCAATAATAATCTAAAGTCGCACAAGATTCAGCTACTCAAAATTGCTTGCATGGATTCTCATTAGGACACCAGTGCAGTTATTTTGTCTAATGCATGATAGATTTTAAGAAAACTGAAGTAGAAAGGAGTAACTTTTTACCAAAGAAGACATAGGAAAGTTTTCGAGCATCTACAAGAGTCACTGATAGTTCTCCAACAAAGTCCATGTTTCCTTCTTGCATTTCTCCTGATTCATTTGCAACAGGGCCAACTGCTTTTCCTTTTTGAAAATCCAAAACAATCTTCTTAGGACGAACAAACAGTCGAGGCAAATCCTCAGTGAGAAGTTTTGTCAGAAACCTATACAAATGCAGTGAACCATTTAAGTTAGGTGAAAGGAAAAGGCGGCAAAACCCTCAAAATATGCTGTAGCTACTATGGACCTTCCCCTTTGATGCATTTTGTTGTTGTTGTTATTATCAAACAAAATACAATCATCCAGACATGTCAAAGAACACAGGCTTCAAGGTCCAAAGATAAATTGGCTTGCAACCAGAGGATGGCTAACAACAAAATTCGACAAACTTATTTACTGTTTCTAGAGCACATGTGTATTCAAAATAAATCATCAAATTATTTGCTTCAGAGAACAATAAAATTAACAGCGTGCACAAACTTTATCATTTGTACTACGCTTCATCTTCTAAAACCTAAAATACCATCTGGTTGCATTCCAGGTCATCTGACCATATTAAGTTTGAAATTCTGGGATATCTGACTTTTCAAAGACAGACTGTGGCTAGAGGCAATAATATTACAGTAAAAAGTAATATGCAGCAAACTAAAAGATAGCATGGAGAGAAAAGTTCACTCACATTGACAGAACAGGAATTGCTGGTGTCACCCAATGCATGCATAGAAAATGAGAAAAGAAGAAGCTTGCATTAGAATCTCCAGTATCAAGTTAATCAGGTATTAAAATACAAGAGCCTACACAGGGTACTAAAAAGAAAAGCTCTACAGTATATCCACAATATCAAATCATGTTCAGTTTTGCCAATTATCCGTTACTTCTATCAAGTTTTCACCACTCAGAGATCAGCTCATGCATTCTCCAAAATCAAACAGGACTTGGTGAACATCATCAACAGATTGACAGATTTCAATAAGAAATGACATAAAACTTCAGTATGTTTTGTGTTCCCTCCAACGAGGTTCACCAAAATTGATGAAATGCATTTTTTTAAGTGGAAACAGCGTCACATTAGATTGAATTTCCTTTTCTTTTCTTTTCTTTCCAGAAAACCAGATTTGATTCATCACTGCCTAATTCCCAAGAATGCAAGGGGGCAAGAGTTTTTTAAATAAACCCTTGTGCTCCTCTAGTTTACATGCCCACAAAAACCCCTAGAAAGGTCAATAAGATGGTCAGGACTGAGACGACTAATGACTAGTAAGATAAATAGTTATCCATGTAGGAAATTAAGAATTCCACATTTTCCCAGATCTCCCTAGGCCAATGGTGCAAATCATTTGCAGGAATGGAAAGCAACTTGTGCACTGCTCAGTGAATCATGGAAAACATAAAACAGATGAAATAAGTCCATTAGGACCATAACAATGGCCTACCCATTAGATTGAACAAACGAAATGGTGACAATTCAAATTTGATCTTCGGAAGTGACACAAAAGCCCAAGAAACAGCTCCCACCCATGGCTCTGTTGGTATCAACCGCAATTTGACCCAAAGTTCACCATCAATGTCAAAATCTCGAACACCGACTGGCACCACGATGGGGATAATGCTAAATTTTAGCGACAGACTTAGCAGCATCCGAGCACCACCAGTATACCTGAGGCCTATTTGATACCTAAACATCAGGAAAAGAAAAAAACAAAATAAATCAGTTTTCTATGTTACAAATCGCCGTGATTGATGCCTAACACTTACTGTACTCCTTTGCACAGTAGAAATCAATTAAAAGCTTCTACTAATTGACCATTACAAAAAAAATTTAAAACTCAGTAAGCAAGTACTTCAAATAGCTAACTAACTTACTGCAAATCATTGACAAGGCGAGAAGTTCTTCTCTCAACATTCCTAACAGACAATGGTTCATCCCCTAAAGATAACTGCTTAATTTCAACTCTTTCAACATAATCAGGCTTCTTCAAATTATCAATCAAAGGTTGCAACAACCCAATAAGCCAATTCTCAATCCCACCTCTATAAACCTTCCATAACTTCCCTAACACCATATTAACCCACTCAACAGACTCTTTTCTCTGCAAATCCTTCTCCAAAAACAACGAAAAGCTGGTGGGCACTTGCGGCCACGCCCCGCCACGCTTCCCTTCGTCATTGCTTTTATATCTCTTTCTTGAAGTCCATACTTTATCAAAAGCAACACCAACAAAAAAGAAAAAAACAAATAACCCAACAATATTTCTATTAACTGGAGGCGATGGTATCGGGTGTATCACTCCTAATTGTGTCCTTAACTTGCCCACGATTGGATCTTCTTGGAAACCAGTGAAGTTGGAAATAGATGGCTCTTCAGGTAATTCTTCAGTCTCCAATTCATTAGAAATTCGCTTCAAAACAAACCTCTTTGTGCCCTTTGAAAGCCCAATGTTTACACTGCGATTTCTAGCGTCGCCTGGGATGACACAAGCGTGAGAAGTTAGAAACTTTCTTCTGAAATTTTGGTGGGTAAAGTTGGTTATTAGCTTATTTCGTATTTTGCTGGAGAAAGGACGTGATGGTGGGTAGTTGGTTTGATTGAAGAACTTACATGGGCAGAGGAGAGGGAGAATTTCATAGGAGTTGAAGGTAGCAGCAGAAGAAGAAGGCTGCAAAGTCATTTATAAATGGAAAAATCAGTGCCCCAGTTGTAAAAAGGGCATAAGAAGGATCATTGCCAAGGAACATAGAGTTTAATAAAATTATAACTCGCAAAAGTGCGAAATTCAATAAAATCTTAATCTAGAGAGTTTGGGATATTGGTGGTGGGCTGGACTGAGTAAAAGAGTTGCAGTCGAAAAATCCATAAGAAATTGGAAAAGAGAGGAGGAGAAGATGCGTGGAGGAGATAGAAATGGGGGGTGTTTTTGTTGTGTTTTATTTTTTGTGTGATTGTGGGGATTTTAAAGAGAGGGAAAAAATGAAAATTAGAGAGAGAGAGAGAGAGAGAGAGTTTTTCTTTTGTGAGTGAGAGACTCTGGGTGGGCTTACTGTTGGGCAAAGGAAACAGAAGACTTGGACGGTAGCCTTTTTGCTCGTTTGGATTTTTTGGCACGTGGTCGGAGCCAACGCGCCTTCATATTTTTCTTCTCTCGGTTTTATTTTTTATTGTTTACCTTATATATTATATTTATAATTGTTTTCAAAAATTTGTGTTATTATTCTAAACTTTTTTATTTCCTATATGAATAGCATCCAAGTTAATGAAAAAAAAATGTGTTTTTAAAATTATTCGAAAAAAATTAGTCAATCAAATACCTTTCACATCAAGTCAAAAAATGTATATATTCCTTTTCTATAGCAATATTCTCTCTTTATCTTCATTTTTATTAGTTTTTACTTCACTGGTTTTTGGTCAATGGAGATGTACTGCCCAGCCTACCGGGAGTAGAGGATTTTTATTCTTCTCCTTCAAGCTAATCACATGATTCACATGTTAATTCTTTGGAGACTTATTGGTCGACAATATTAAGGTTAAACAAACAGTTAAATAATTCGATCTTGTATAAATTTAGCTTAATTTTCGGTTAATCAAACTAAAAAAAAATTAAAATCGAAACTAAACCAAAATAAGTTTGATAAATTCTGTTTGAAATCAAATTATTTTGATTTGGTTTCATAAAAATTTGGTCTTAATCGAAATATTTTTTTTAATTGATGAATTCTACATGTGAATTGGGCTAATGTTCAGAGTTTTTTATTTTTTAAGTATGTGGACTAGGCTAATAAAAAGTATGCTTCTTCCTTAAATACCATAATTTAAATTTCAAACTAGGTGTAGGAAATGAAATTTTTTGGGTTAGAGATTTAGTGGCGGCCATGTGCTTTTTTTTTTTTTTTTAGTTTTTACTTTTAATACACTCGATTTTTTGTGAAAATTGATTTTTTTTCTCAAAAACCAAATCAAACCGAAATAATTTCGCTATTTCGATTCGGTTTTTAATTTTACAATTTTAAGTTTAAAACCGAACTAAAATACATAATTCGATTTGATTTTTTTGATCAATCGAATTATGCTCACCCCTACATAGTATATTGGATTAGTGTATTACATCAAGTATATTAAGTCGAGTATATAAGTTCGTTAGAATTTTAATAAACTTAATTCTTTACACTATTTTTTATATTTATAGTCATCATTTGAAAAACTCTAATAAGAAATATTAATTTACCAATGAAGTAAACATAATTTATCGAATTATGTAAATCTTGTGTGGTGTGGTTTTTTTTATTTGTATGTTCTATCTTCTTATTTAATTTGTTTTCTAATATTACGCTATATCCATGTCTAATTCAGAAGAAGAATGGTTGTACGGGGAGTTCAAGACCATGATCTGTCTTTATCTATGCTTGCGGGAGAAATGGGCTCCAATCCTCCACCATCGTTTTTTATATTGAGATTTCACAGGGTTAGTAAGAGTGAAGGTTTTTCATAAATTTTAAATCATTTGATGATTGGTTTTTGAATTAAAAAAAAACGTAGAATTGATTCGATCCAATTTCAATTTATTTGAAATTGAATCAATCTATTAAATTTTTTTAGGATTTTATTCATCAATTAACAGTTATAAATCATTATCCCTGTTGGAATCAGTGTCCAATAAGATCACTATTCAACCAGATTTCAATGGTAGATGAACAATTTGTGATTTTTAGCCATTAATTAATGGACAAAACTCTATAAAATTCAACACAAAGATCTAATTTTAAATAGATCAAAATTGAATTGATCAGGTTAATTCTAATTTTTTTTCCAATCTTGAAACTAGTTTTCAAATAACTTAAATGATATCATCCATTTAGCTAATAAATGATTTTGAACTCGCCACTAAATAGACTAAGCTTGTCCATGGATTGGACAATTCCACAAGGGAAGTCCACACCAAATTACTTGCGAACAACATGTTGTATTCACCTTACAAATTCGTCCAGACCAATTCACTTGCGAACACAACTTTAGATTCACCTTATAAATCTGGTTTTCGTCGTACAATATTACTTAAATTTTTTTTTTCTCATTCCATTGCCGGATTGGAATGAGGAAACTCGAGAAAAACTTCATAGATTTTTGGACTGCTCTACATCCTTACCCATCACTCATGGAACTCCCTATACGAAAGACACGAGCTCATCTTGTAACAAAACTTTTAAATTGTCATTCTCTAATAAAAAAATAAAAAAAATCACAGAGCTTTCATTTGGGATTCATGGCTTTGGATCCTATCCTCCCACCTCCCCTCTTCATTACACATTAACACCCCCTTTTTCAAAATTTCCAAATACGCCGCGAATCTAGATAGTTGTTTTTATTTTTAGTCTTCAACTTTAAATCGAGGAAGATCCGAATTTAGAAAATATTATTATTTTTTCCAATCCTCTAGATTCGTCCTTGGTTGCGAAATTTATTTGTATTTTAATTGGTTTTTTTTAATAGTGTTTTTATTTCAAATCTAGCTTAAGACATTTTAGATATATATAATATTCACGCGACTTTTAGCAATACTAGATCGAGTATAACCAATTTCACTATCTAGAGATTGAGTTGGAGGTAGAGTTTTTGGGGTGATTATTGTTGTTAATTTGGATGGAAAAACGTTGATACAAAACCTGTCACATAACGAGTTATTTTACAAACATATAGTGAACACAATTACAAATATAAAAACACACAAAAACTTATCTAACTATATAAATATAAATCGAGTCATTTGTTTATGGTATTAATAACATGTCATGCATTCAAATTAACAACAAAACTTATTGTACTGGCTCTCTTCTCTCGCACGTGTAAAAAAAAAAAAAAAAAATTTTAAATCTTCACCAAGCACTAAAAAGTTTTTTTTTTTTTTTTTTCATATATTCAATACTCTTAATAGAACTAAAATGCTAGTATTTGAATGAAAAATCTATACAAAAACTACCTATGATATACATACGATTTGTTAATTTTTATTTTCAAAGACTAGTTGAAAACTAAGTTTTATTAAAAAAAAAAAATGAAAGAAAGGTAAGCTTTAGTTTAAAATGAATGTCGGGTCTTTAAAAAAAAAACATGAAATAATTAACAAAAAAAAAAAAAGAATATTGAATGTGCATTAAAGATGTAAACCTCATTACATATAGACATATTTTGATTAATTTTTTATATTCTTAGATATTTTCTCTAGTTTGATGTAACCAATAATCTTATAAATATTTTAATATAGAAGGTTAGAATTCTGGTTTTTATATGTATTGAAATTTGATTTAAGAATATTGTCTTATTGTCAGATTAAATATTATTTGTGTTTATACATACATTATTAAACGTCTTCTCAAATTAGTTTTTTCACGTATAAATAGTGAATTTAATTTATTTTTCCAATTTAAGTAATAAAAGCTAAGCGATTCATTAATTTTTTTTATTGCATATATAAATCTTGATGATTGGAGGAGCATATTTTCTTAACTTTCAAACCAAGCACTCAAACTGTATGATGGAAAATATTGTCATGGTTAAACTGTTCAAAACCTATTTATAAAAAATTGTTCAACTGAGACCAACCACCTACCGGCGCATGGCATGCGGCGGGGCACATATACAAAGAACATAAATTCACGTTCCATAAAGTAAAAAAGAAAATTACGCAATTACAGAATGATTACTGGGCCTACAGATCCAGGCATAAGAGCCCAAAAAAACTATTCTAGCATTGTTCTTTCCGAAAAGGAATAGTAGGCGGGCTGGACCCGTCTTGACCCAAATACAATACAACAACCCATGGCATACACACGACATGGCGGACGACGAGTTTGGTTCCAGCAGTCGCTCCGCTTTCAAAAACATCCCAATAAACAAACACCAAACCGATACACGATTTTCCTCTCTCACTGGACGATACGACGACCCTTCCCATTGCTTCACCACCTCTTTCGTCTCCATTTCTCTCTATCATCAACCTCTATTTTGTGGAAAGGAAAATAAAATTAGGGTTTTCTTTTTACATTTGCTATTTTTATTCCTAACTAGTTCCACTCCCTCAAAGGTTATTTTTATCTGTCCTTTTTGTTTTCATTAAAGTTAATTAAAAAAACCCTAAGTTCAGCTTGCATTTGAATTCTCACTCACTTTGTTACATCGCAGATTAAAAAATGGAATCGCCAGCTTGGTTACCGCAACGAGAAGTAAGGCCGCCGCCAACTGCCACGGAAGCAGGAGTTGCAGCAGCTATGCTTCCACCGGAGAATTCCGTTGTTAATAATGCACACAGTAGCCATTCAGTTCCGGCGCCGACATTCAGTTACAACGTGATCCCTAATATGTCTTCCGGTGCGGTCAGTACCAGTACTTGTTTATTTATTTTTTTCCAGCTTCACTCGTAATTACTAATTAATTGACAATATGTTGTTCCTTTTGTTTATAGTTCGATTTTGTATAATGCGTGCAGGCTATGAATCCTAATCCACTGGGACCGCCTGTCCCAGTTCCTGGCCAGGTTTCATCTGCTAGTCCTTCCTTTTCATATAAAATTCCGCAAACTGGGCTTGGTTTTCCTGGCAATCAGCAGTTCCAATCCGGTGTTGTGAGTGGTTAATTTAATACTTTATCTTTTATGCTGTATAGATTTTTTTTTAGTTACTTCTCATTGTATGCATTTGAGTCGATGATGTTGCAATAGTTGTCGAGAGCGAGAGTTATGGTTTTAGTCTGAGATGGGTGCTTGGTACAGACAATGTACTCTTGATGACTGCCTTCTACTTGTACCTGTTTTTTGGCAGCTTTTAGGTGGTAATGTTTGTGGAAGAGGTTCAGATACTGGAGTTGATTCCAATTAATGCATAAAACTGTCCTTGACTTCCTCCTGATTGTGATGATGGCCATGTGCTTGTATGAAAATGAAAATAGAACATGGAAGGAGACTTTTTAAAAAAGTATCTTCTGTAGTTATGGTGTTGCTTTTAATATTATCTGGTGATGTCTAACCATTGCATGAAAGCTGTGGAATGGTTGGGTGGTCGTTCATGTCCAAGAAATTATTGTTTAAGTCTCTTTGATTCATGCAGGACAAATCACCTGCAATTGCCCAAGGCATTGCACCGTCAGCGGCACCAATTGCATCTCAGTCTGGTCCATTGCCCCTTCATTCTCCTTCAAGTTCTTCAATGAATGCATCTTTATCTCCTAACCTGGGCCCGACACCTTCACAGGCACCAGCTGCTGCTCCTTTTTATATGCCCCTTGGATTGCCTAGAACCCCTGGCATACATGCACCCCAAGGATTGGTACCAGCTGCACCAATGACCCAGCCATCTGGAGCTGTTGATTCTTTACCTTCAGGAGTTCAGAGACCCATCGTGCCAACAATGCCTCCTGCAAATGCAGTTCAGCAGCAAACATACCCAACCTACTCATCTTTACCTGCCATGGCTGCTTCCCCACAGGCACTCTGGATGCAAACCCCATCCATAGGAGGCATGCCTAGGCAACCACTTTTGCCACATCCTGCTGCTTTTCCTGGGCTCTTTCCTTTGCCTGGACAAGGCATGCCTCATCCTTCTGTTTCGTTGCCTGATTCTCAACCTCCTGGCGTTGTTCCTGTTGGACATGCAGGTGCAAATCCCATGTCTTCTTCTGCTTCAGTTCATCAGTTACCAGGTGCTCCTGGGATGCAGACAGAATTACCTCCTCCTGGAATTGGTACGCTCAGGGTTTCATGCTAGGTTACTGATGCATTTACAATGTAAGAGTTGTCTATTTCTCACCGAAGTTACATGGAATGAGCTTTTTTCATCAATTTTTCTCCGGGCTTCACAGATAACCAGAACCATCTCCATCACCACCACAATGGCAACAAGGATAATGCAGCTGTTAGTGAACCATCACATGCGTGGACTGCTCACAAGACTGACACAGGAGTTTTTTACTATTATAATGCTGTGACTGGAGTGTCAACTTATGAGAAACCACCTGGGTTTAAGGAGGTATGAACAACAACAGTTATATATGGGAAATTCCTTTACTGTCATTCAAATGTGGGAATATTTTTACTGCTAACAAGGATTTTGGAAACTACATAACTCATGATCAGACCCATTGCAGTTTATTACCATTTATGCTGCTGTGCTCATTGTCATGAAATGATAGTGTCAATATTCTAAGAAGACAACCTATGAACCAATGTGTAAATTTCTTGGCTTCATGGAACATTGAGAACGTGCTAATTTGAACAAGTACCGTTGTATGATAGATTAGGTCTTTTAGGGTTCTTAAGTTGATCATTCTCTCCCCCTCTCTCTGGTCCTGGGAATTTTTTTGTGTGGATACTTCTCATCAACTTGTCTGTTCTTTTGCTACCTTCCCGTATTGAAGTCTGAAACAGTGTCCCCATTTGGTTCTTTTTGCTATCACGAGTTTCTTTTCTTTAACCTCCTTGTTACTGTTGGGGACACTCTACATTGATACTAAGTTTGTGTTTTGTTTTACCTGGATGCAGCCTGAGAAGGTTCCTGTGCAACCAATTCCAGTTTCAATGTAAGTACCTTACTTTTAGTGGCTCTACCTATATCACTCCTAGTTTGCTATCTAGAAGCAAAATGTGTGGAGTTTATCAGTTTTAATTCTTTATTTATTTTTATTATTTTCAAAATTTCTTCTTCTTTATACAACATGCATGTTACATGAGCTTACTTCCAGGCCTGATCACTGAGGCAATTTTGTTGGTGAATAGTGACGTTAAGTTGGCGCTATTATATGATGCATTGGTATATGTCTCGGAACTGAAACAAAAAACGGGTGCACGTTTTGAGTCTGAAAGTAACCGTTGTATACAACTGTTGAAAGCCTGTCTTTCTCTAGATTCTCCTTCTAGTACCCACTTTTCTGATCCAATTGCTTTTGTAATAGTCTTTAAGTAATCTTAAGCAATAGGAAATTGCATTTTTCAGCATTGAGTATTGCTCTATTAACGTATAAAGTTGGTGCACTAACTTGTAAAATAATAATAATAAATAAATAAAACTGAAGTGCATGTGCATCTAAGTTCCTTATTTGACAGATTTGTCATGTAGCAAAATCTTAAACTGGTTACTTGAGATATAGTCTGTTCTCCATCCTATCCACAGATTTTGGAAATGGTTTGTAGTGCCATACATCTAATTGCTGCCATTATATTTGTTGTCCTTTGAGTTTTTTCTTTTTCTCTTTTTTCTCAAGCTAATTGTTAAATTTCACATTTTTTTGTCTCTAGGGAAAATTTGGCTGGCACAGATTGGGCATTGATCACAACAAATGATGGCAAAAAATATTACTACAACAACAAAACTAAGGTATGGTAGTAAACGAGAATATGTGACACATCTATCTACACTAATGGAGTTGTTTCACGCAATTTTTTCTATGCTAATGTTGTGTGGAAGCTAGTGCGTAATGGTAGGCATGATATGTGGGAATAACATGTTTTATGTGGTGGCTTTTGTTAGATGGTTATATATCCAGGTGCAACTAGTATGTTTGTAGCGGGGCTGATTTATACAGAATGAAACTATATAAAATTTAAGTGATGTATCCCATAGAGGGTTATTTTATGAAATCCAACTAATATATATTAAATATTTTATCATGATCACGTATTATTCTCTTGATTGAGAAAATCAAGCAGTAGAATATATTTATCAAATATGTTCCAGGTGCAGTGGACCTACTAGATTATCTCCTACAGACATTCCTTGTTATTACCAGTAGGATTTGGGAATTCTAATGAACGTTTGTGATGGGGAATTAGGGAAGAATATAAATACCATTTAGGGGTTGGGAATGGGAGGAACTAAAGTTTCTTAAAACATTCCAACGAATGTTCGTATGTTTTACCTCAATGGATGGTTTGCAAAAACAAAAAAAAAAAAAAAAAAAACTCTAGCTCTTTTTCCCTTTGAGCTTCAATGAGATAACTCCATTGGATTCCCTTATTGGAGGTTGATTATGAGTATGCCTTTACAGGAATGTTGCTAATGTTAGATGTTAATATGAGAGGGAGTTTGAATCTTCCAATAATTTCATTGATTTTATATGGAATGAAGATGATGCAAGGTGGGTGATGAGGCTAGTTGAAATCTAACTAAGGATGGAAAGTTTAGTCTTAAATTCTATCAAGGATCTAATAAAAAAAGGAAAAGAAGATACTTTTACAATCAGATGATAACATGAGGACAGAGAGAGGAAGAACAAATCAGAGTGACATCATCATCAAGAATAAAAATGAAAATAAGGAGTTCATCTCCAAGGACTTGCCTTATGTATCACTATCGGAAAATTTCACACAAACAACATGAGTCTGAAGGCTAATAAAAACTGTAGTACTGAGTGATAGAGTAATAGTTTATAAACTAGCTTTAGAAATGGGAGTAATTCATATGGCAGGAAAAAATGACCAAACAAAATCACTACTAGTTTTCAAAAATCCAGTTAAATTTAGTTTGTTTAGGAGAAAGGAAAAATAGAGAGAGAATAAATAGCAGCAGGAAGGCTGCCTGGTCTTTTAGATACTGGAGGGGACTTACACCTACCTGCTTGACCCGGTCCTGTGAAACGGGTCAGATCCCAACTAACACCCTTAATATATCCTAGGCAACATGAGGTTGATTCAACTCAACTTTCTGCCTTTCATATGTATGCTGTAAAAATGGTTAAAACAAAGATGCAATTTGAATTTATAAGCTTACTGAATTTTGTTCATATCTGTGTTTTTTACGTTTATTTTTTCACTATCAGTTTAGCAGCTGGCAGATTCCTAGTGAGGTGACAGAATTGAGAAAGAACCAGGAAGCTGACTTATCAAAAGAACATGCAATGTCAATGTCAATGTCACAAGTTAATGCTTTGAATGAAAAAGGATCTGCTCCAATTAGTTTGAGTGCTCCTGCTGTTAACACCGGTGGTCGTGATGCCGCAGCTCTTAGAGTTTCAAGTGTGCAAGGAGCATCATCTGCTCTGGATTTGATAAAAAAGAAGTTGCAAGAATGTGGAGCTCCAGCTATTTCTGCCCCTGTTTCAGTTTCATCAGGAGCAGCAGCATCAGATTCAAATGGCTCAAGAGTTGAAGCTGCAGCTAAGGGCTTGCCAAGTGAGAATAGCAAAGATAAGCTGAAGGATGCTAATGGGAATGGTAATATATCTGACTCATCTACGGACTCTGAGGATGAAGATGATGGGCCAACAAAGGAAGAGTGCATCATCCAGTTTAAGGTATACAATTGTTACTTTTATTTCATTGAAAAGTATACAATTCTCTTTAGCTCTCTCTCTCTCTCTGTTTTTTTTTTTGGGTTTTGTTGGGGGGGGGGGGGGGGTTTGGAGGCATTTAAAATAAAATACAATTATTCATTAATTGCAGATATTTTACCTCAGACCTTTTTTATTCCTCCGGAGACAATTTTTTTGTTCATTCTTGTCCCATGAAATCTACAGGAGATGCTTAAGGAACGTGGAGTGGTACCATTCTCAAAATGGGAGAAGGAGCTTCCGAAATTAGTGTTTGATCCTCGTTTTAAGGTTTGTTGAGTCTAAAGAATTATGAATTACTTTGTTCGGGAATTAATCCCCTTTCCTGCAACTGGAACTCGGTGAAACAGGTTTGTTGCATTAATGTATCCACCAACATGTGATGGGGTGAATTTGTTTGTGTCTTGTTGTGCTTTCTTTTGTCACAATAACTTGGTGATGACGCTTGTTAAATCCTCTTATGATGCTCGACTAGAAAAATAAATCATTAATACACCTTGTCAAGATCTTGGCTCAATTCTGTCTTGTTTTTCCTACCTTGTGTACCTATGGTGGGAAATGTTTTAAGACTCTTGTTACATATGTCAGGCAAATCCACATATCCCCTTCAAGCTAGTAGTGGGATGTAGAAACTTCACACTTGAGACCCCCCGAACCCAAAAAATGACTTAGAGGATAGCTAGAAGTTTTTGTTTTGGTGGCTAGAGTTGAAGGCTATATTTGAGTGGTTGAGGAGCTCCGTCTACGCTTCTCATAGGGACTAAGATCCTGCCAGAGGGAGCTCTCTTTTCCACTTGTCTTTAGGAGTTCATTGCTAAAATCTAGTGATCTGTGACTAGGCTATGCTCTATTTTGTTGCGTGATAACGCATGGGTGTTTCTTCTTGGCTGATGGCATCCATTTACCATAGCAACCATTGTACAAGTGTATTCCTTGTCCTCAATATCTTTACTCTTTCTTTCCTAGAGCAGTTTTCTTGTTAAGTATCTTTGCTTCTGCCCCCTAGAAAGCTGCATACTCACCCCTCAAGCTAGTGGCCTGGTATCATTTGCCTTCTCATTGCTTTTGTGCAAACACTGTATCACTCCCTAGTGAAAACAGATGTATTTTTAGCCCCTTCTGTCTCCCTCTCTAGAGTTTTCTTGTCTTCTAAATGATCTTTTTGGGCAGGATTCTTGTGGTTTGGTTAAGATTAATCCACCTCATTACCCACTGGCATCAGTGCTCCTCGATGCAGAAAAGGCTTAATCATAGAAAAATGGCATCACCAAGATCTTCTTGTTTGTTTAATTTTATCGGTAATTTACAAGGATGCTGATGTAACTTCTAGCACTCTGAACTAAGACGGGATCTATGTTTTTATAGAGATTAAAGACCTTGAAGTTTATCTTAAACATTTACGAGGTTGTATGTTCTTCTCTTTTCTTCTATATTTGACCTTTGTAATTACGACTAGTAGCTGATGCAGAGGGGCAATAGTGTCTGAAGAAAGTCTGTCCCCATTCTGATGTGTTTAACTCTTTATGTAGAAAGCAGTTCCTTTTCCGTGCTGCATGCATGCAGATTTCATACATCCAAGGCGCTGTAGTTAACAAACACTCTGCTTGATGTGGCTTCTGCCTTTTTTATTGCAACATTATGCATCTCTTCTCTGAATCTCATCTCTGATTATGGTATATGCAGAAGTTAATTTGTTGTGTGGTTCTTATTGTGAAAGGTCTGATCCGTTTCAGGCTATTCCAAGTCATTCTGCTAGAAGGTCTTTGTTTGAACACTATGTTAAAACACGTGCTGAGGAGGAACGCAAGGAAAAGCGAGCAGCTCAGAAGGCTGCAGTGGAGGGATTCAAGCAGTTGCTGGAGGAAGCATCAGAGGTTTCTTGGATCGCCTTCAATTTAATTCTCTTTTTTTCTGCGATTTTTTCAAACTTTTTCCAGCTTTGGAGATAGGGAGATTGCAAATTATTTATCAAGAAGATTTTGATTTTCAGGATATTGATCACAACACTGATTATCAAACTTTCAGAAAGAAACGGGGAAATGATCCAAGGTTTGAAGCCTTGGACCGCAAAGATCGAGAGCATTTATTAAATGAAAGGTATTATATGAGAAAATGTCATGAGAACTTTTTCGACAATGTAGATGTGATCTTTGCAGTAGACGCCTATGTAGATGGGATCTTTTTGCAGTAGACACCTACAGTTTATCAGGCACATTTAAGTGCTTTCTTTTTTGTCATATTTGAACCACTTAGGTGATGTTCGTCAGTGAAGTCAAGGCATTGCCTAATCTAGTTGGACCCTAACTCATATAATCCATCCCTATTGTGTTTGCCCCTTGCTTTGCGTGGCTGATGGGTGTACTGAGTGTGAATGTGAATATGCCATCAATTTCTAAATGAAATTTCAAAGTCATTGGACTTAAATTTTCATCTGTGGATCTATATCTACTTTGTTTAGTTGACAATCTCTTTTTGTTCATTATCTTCTTTTACTATACAAATATATTTGGCCTCAATATTGTTATTCTAATATGAGTTATTGTGTACTTTATGGCTTTCAACTTCTGTGTGCTCTTTACTTAAGTTTTTTTACTTGTCCAAAAGCAGGAAAAAAACTAACTACATAATTCTACTCAGAATAGCTGGCTATAGTAGTTGATACCTAGTTCAGAAAATACTGTTTTTTCAGCTTTTTTTTTTATGCAAACTCTAGAGAAAGGAGATCCTGCTTTGAGACTGTTCTGACCTTTTTTTTTTTTTGGTGTGTAATGTTTTCATTTGGCCCTGCTCTACCACTGCTGCATCATGTGACTTATTTTGGATTGTAGAAACACCTATGCAACAAAGGATCGTTAATTGGTATGCTTGATAGATTGTTGATGATATGCTGCTGAAGTGTTATTCACACTCTGACTTGGACCCCTTATTCTTGTGACTGGAAAAGATCGATTTGAATTTTGAATGTCCGGTGGTGTGCATGTGTGAGTGTGTAAAGTTTCTGCTTTTTGTTGAAGGAGTGCTATTTATCGTTCAGATTCATGTCCTATTCTGTGTCTCTGCAACATGTTGTGTAAGATACGCTGTAGATCTGTATTCTACATAATCTGTTTTACTCCTATCCTAACTGATTTATGTATTCGGTTTTCTAGACAGACAAAGTGATTTCTTGTCATAACTCCTTCAAACCAGCATGTGTTTGTGAATGGTAGGCTAGTGACCAGACTTTTAGATTAACTTTGGGATTCCTTTAGTCCTTAAAGCTCTTTGTAATTACATAGTAAAGGTGCTTTGTTTTTCAAATCTTTCTTTGCACAACTCTGATTGAAGAATTTTTTTCTTTGGAAGGATTCTTCTTTTGAAGAAGGCAGCACAAGAAAAAGCTCAAGCTGAACGTGCTTCTGCTGCTGCCAGTTTCAAGTCCATGCTTCGAGATAAAGGAGACATAACTGTTAATTCGCGTTGGTCCAGGGTATGTTCTATTAGAGTGGGGTTTTATGTGATGATGGATTTCCATCAAGATGCATCTAGGATGTTGTTAGATTTCAGTGTATTTTGACAAGAATCTTGAATGCTATTAATTATATTTAGATGGACTGATACGTAGTATGTAGATGACTTTCCTGGAGAGAATGACAAGGAAATTTACTTCCTCATTTGTCAGTAAGGAATTGGGAAAGAACTTATTTGGACAAGATAAATTGAGAAATTGTTTTGGGTGAAAGAATGAGTTTATAACTTAGTCATATTGGAAGAAAGTAAACCGGCATAAGCAATGATTGCTTCCTTTAGGTCGGAAATATGGTTAATTTTTGCCTATGGACCACAAAGCCAAGATGCTGAGTCTATGTGGGAATGATTATAGATTTTTATAAAAATCAATTAATGCAGATGTCTGTGCTATCTGTTAAATTTTGACATATAACCTTGTACTGATGTTATTTGTGCTAATTGTATTTGTAGGTCAAGGATAGTCTAAGGAATGACCAAAGATACAAATCTGTAAAGCATGAGGATAGAGAGGTTTTCTTCAATGAGTATTTGTCTGAATTAAAAGCTGCAGAGGAGGAAGCAGAGCGAGATGCAAGAGGCAAAAGAGAGGAGCAGGTATAGACTGTTGGCTGTACACTTCTTGGAAACGCTTTCTCCCGCATTCTTTACTATAGTCTCTATAGTTATTGCAATTGCCATTTGACTGCATTGTGCTTTTGGAACATAGGAAAAGTTTCAAATCTATGAATCTGACGTTGTTTAAGTGGTACCCTAACAAGACAATGAATCATCCTGTTTTTATTGATTTATTGACAGCAATTTTTAGGATACAACAAAATTTGATTTCTAAAGCAAGAAATTAACCATCATGTGCTTGCTCTCTATGTGTATGTGGTATATGGATTACCCCATTTATATCTCAGGTCACTAAAAATATTCAAGTTATTTATTGTGTCAAAACACTGCAAAGCTGATTTTGAACTTCATCAAGGATACCAAGTGGAAAATCATTTTCTGTTCTAGGAGCCACAATTAAGCTGCAAGTTGCGGCTCGCCTGGAAAATCATTTTCTGTAACTAGTGATTAAAGTGTAAAATCAGCTACAAAAATGATCTGATCAAGTAAATCGGAAGGAAAAGGAAGTTCACTTTGCAATTAAAGGTTGAATTGTGTTACTTTGATAAGAACAAGAGGGATCTTGCTTATTAAATAAAGTCGGAAAGTGAAACGGAGAATAGTCTTTGGAAAGATTATCAGGCTAATACAAAAAACATACAGGCAGGGAACTTGTTGTACTTCCAGTGCAAAAGTCTCTTAATAGGAAGGAACCAAAACAGATGCATTTGAACAATTATACTGGTATATTTGGTGTTTATTTGTAGTTCTTGATCAGTTTATTCTTTATTCTGATACACCATATACATGCTATGTAGTAGTACCAAGTTGAATGCAAGTATTTACTGATATTTATTGATCAGTTTATTTTTCTAGTTCATGATCTGGTTCTTGTATGGTATATTATATTTATTTTGGGCATGGTGTGTATTCACCCTATTAAGATGTGTTGAATTGGGATATCTGTACTGATCTGAGGATGTAAATGAATATGTCCAGCTCTCTTCCACCTTAGTTCAGGACAAGCTGAAGGAGAGGGAGCGAGAGTTTCGAAAACGGAAGGAAAGAGAAGAACAAGAAATGGAAAGGGTGCGTGTGAAAGTTCGGAGGAAAGAAGCAGTTGCATCTTTTCAAGCTTTGCTTGTGGAAACAATTAAGGACCCTCAGGTTTGTTTCTGATAACCATTGATCAAAATCTGGGTGGTACTAGACATGTCAACATTAAAAGACCATCTATTGTAATTCCAAGATAATTTAAAAATTTGTTGCATATGTTGTTCTATTGAAGGTTTTGCTGAATTAGAATGACTGCATGGGTCCAGTGTCATGCCTGAGTAATAGTTTATATAGTACAATTGATCCCTGTGTATGATGCAGTGCTGGCTAAACACTGAACATCACAGACCACTCAAATTCATCATAAGTTATTAAATTTATTCTTCTTGCAGTTTAAATTAAAAATGGATGCCAGTCCTGGTTATTTCATTTTACGTTTGCCCCAGAATACTGAAGTCCACAATGCTGCTATAAGTTTGACTAATTAGACAAAATCTTTGAGATGATTCTTATAGTTACATTAAATTCAGGTTTTATGCGTAACTGACCAAACTTTCATGGACATCGTCAAATGGGGTTTGAGTTTGTTTTGTTTCCATTTATAGTGCTGACCATTTGGCTTAACTGTTACTTAGGCATCTTGGACCGAGTCAAAACCAAAGTTGGAGAAGGATCCACAAAGACGTGCAACAAATCCTGATTTAGATCCATCTGATATAGAGAAGCTCTTCCGGGAACACATCAAGATGCTGCATGAGGTAATAATTGTCAAATGAAAGTACGCTATGTATATATAATTAAAGGGCATCTTAATAGATTTGACTTTAGTGGATCTGTATCATGACTTTGTGACTTGACATAAATATTTTGTTTATTTATGTTTTCCCAGCGATGTACAAATGATTTCAAAGCTTTGTTAGCTGAAGTTGTAACTGCTGAAGCAGCGACCCAGAAGACAGAAGATGGGAAAACAGTCCTTGATTCATGGTCAACAGCTAAACGACTTCTAAAGCCGGATCCTAGGTATAACAAGATGCCTCGGAAAGAGAGGGAAGCTTTGTGGCGTCGATATGCTGAGGAGATGTTGAGAAAGCAGAAGTCTGCACCGGATCAGAAGGAAGATAAGCAAACAGATTTTAAAAATAGAAGCTCAAATGATTCAGGAAGATATCAATCAGGATCGAGGAGAACAAATGACCGAAGATAGCCTATTGAATTTTGGATAGTTCATTTTATTTTTGGTTAGGAAATAGGTTCTTGGTAGAATTTCCTGATTGTTGCTTTCCTAGTGATGTTTATTTCTCCCTCTTCTATTCTGTTAAGAGCTCAGGTTATAATTTCCTTTTTTTGAGTGCTGTATCATATTTGAGTATAACTGATATGTTTTTTTTTTCATATATACATTTAAGGAAAAGCATCACGACGCCATTTTTATGTGAAAATCGGACTTCTTAGTAGGGCCAGGCATCAGTGCTGTTTTTGGAATAATTTTTAATTCTGCATTGTGTTTCTTGGGGTACATTGGGCTTCATGATTCAGTTTTCACCTTGTTCATCTGGGGACAATAACGAGTGTTCAATACAAGTATTCTACCACTAGTCCTCTGGTCAGTCAAAATCTTCTGCAGGATATTACCGAAAACTGGTCATCTTTAACAGAATTCCAGGTGCGGGTGATGTGTTCTCATATTGAATGGGTTTTTCTCATATCTGGATCTTGTATTTGTTTTTTTTTTTCCTTCATTTTTTTCTTGATGGAGACCGTTTATTTTTTTTGAGATTTTTTTGTTTCAAATTTTTTTTTTTACAATGCTGTTTATTTTTTATTTGATGTGGCATGTTATTGTTAGAAGTTATTTATTAATAATTGATGCGTTATTTATTAAGAATTGATGCATGGTATTGTTGGTTTCAAAAAAAAGTTTTTGTTCAAAGAAAGAAAATATTTAAAAATAATTTAAATTTTTTCAGAAATAGTTTTTGTTCAAACAAGATTTAAAAATAATTTTAATAATAAAATATATAAAATTAAAAAATAAGGAAAAAAGATCAGATCGCTCCCCCGTCATTATTTTCAAACCCAATAAAAAAGTAATAGAAACTCATTAGCACCCTCAAAAAGATCTTAAGAATAACCATAACAAAAGGAACAAGAAAAGACAGGATTTGCTAGTACTGTTATTTACATCTGATTCATATTTGATCTTCTCATTAGAATATTCAAAAAATTCATCAAGCAGGTAAGGCCATACACGTTCAGCGTTATAGTTTGATAATGTGAGGTCTATTTAGTTGAGACTTGGATCGCTTTATTACGTCGAGCCTGTGACAACAAAACAAAAAGAATTGGATTTTCTTTCTTGTTTGATTTTATGCTTATATTTTGGGTAAAGCTAACGAGTGCTGGTAGGAGTAGGCAGGCAATACGATGGTGAGAGTGCAAATTGATAGTTTAATTCCCTTTACGTTATGTTCATTTGGGTGTTTAAAGTCTTAAATATCTGATTAGAGCTTATTTTTATGGTTTAGGTCCATTTGGAGAAGTTTCGAACATTTTCTTGCCAAATAGAAGAATTCCAGCTTTGTAGGCTTTGACTGCTGCAGCTTGGGTTGGATTTTTGATGTGGTTAGAAAGTTAGAATCAGAAAAAGGCCTTCTCGACATTTAAAGAAGACACGTTAAGCTTTTCAAGAAGGTATTATGGGCCAAATACTGAGATCGTTCAAACCTTGAACCGTTACCATCAAGATCCAGCAGAAAAACAAATACTAGTCCAATTTGGAGAAGATTTCCTGATAGGGCAGCTCAGTGTTTTTAGCATAATTGGAGCTACATATTTTCACGAAGAGACTCAAGCCTAGTAGTGAATATTTCCTAGCTCCTACAAGTTGCAGCAGAGAATCAGTCTCTTAGTTTGTTGCGGATTTAGTTAACTGATGGTGAATCTTTTTAGACGTTAGATTGCAGCGCCTAAATAAGGTGGAATTCATTTAATGACTTAAGAGGATGACATGTAATGAATGGGACAAGAGTCAGAGGTCCAGATTCAAGTTTGTGACCGCGTTGAAGACTAAGTCTTAATTGGTTAGGATTAATGACTGCAACGTTTTGGTAGAATTATCAGGAGAGTTTTTAGGCACTCTTTGGCTGTATAAATGGCCACTTTTAGGGCTATGCAAAGGTGGAAAAAAGACAGCTTATTCTTCTCTTTTGCTTTATTTTTTCCTTTTGTTCATGACTTAAGTAAGGTTAGTTGGTCTTCTAGACTAATAACTAGGCTTACGATTGTAGGGTAAATTATGTGTGGAGAGTGGTATGGGGTTCTGTATTGTTTTGGGGACTGGTGTAAATTTTGAGTGATGAGGTGAAGGTTTGTTGAAGTAGGGTGTTGCTGGCTTTAGATAGTCTTTCTTATTGTAGGAGTTTCTATTATCTTACTTTTGGATTAACTCATAAGCCCTAATTAAGGTTTGGGGTTCAAGCATAGATACTGAACCCTGAATATCTTTTCTTAACCCGACCAAAAACATACTTAGAGCTTGCTGCTCATTAATGGCAGCTTGATTCCACAAAACATCAAATTTATAGATATATGATTTCAAATTTGAAGTTTGAGAAAGATTTTTTAACTCATCCAATGAATCTAACTTAACTCCTAATCTACTAGTAATTGCAGCCACATATTCACTCTAAGTAACTTTCCTATTCAAGCTGTCGGTATAAGCTTAATGCCAATACAAAGCTCTGTCATCCAAGAAGGAAAAAAATAATTAGACTTTTCATATTCATCCATAGTTCAATCTCAAAGAACAGATGACATTTGTACAGTTATTTCTTGATATCATCTCCATCGAAGGTAAGAAAAATCTTCTTTGATCTTTTAGGTTTGCAGTAGTGGTTTAAAGTCTGGACAGGGGGTTATGTGGCTTGTATTGAGTATTAGTGAATGGTTGTGGGAAAGGGTGAATCATGGTGGCAGGAGATATAGGTAAGATAGGGTTTGTGTTGATGGGTGTGGGTTGAACACTTTGGTGGGGTGGTGGAGGTATACTAGCCGAGCTAGAAAGAGTTGTGATAGTGGATGTTTGTTCAGTAGTCCAAAAAACCATGAGAGCACTGAGTAAGGTTTTGAGCTCTACAAAACCTTCCTCCTGCTGCTAATGAACCATCTCTCATTTTCCAGAATGGTCCTTCATATTTCTGTTTACTTCATCTGTGATTTCTTGTGCTAGCAATCTTATTGACACATCTAACTTATGCAGGTAATCCATTTTAGCGTTTTTGGCCATGGAGCAATACCAAGGATGGAAAGCTCCAATAACAGTTGATACAGGTGTGTTACGTTTTTTGATACCAAATATAGAAAGAGGGAGAAGGAGAATAAGAGAGAGACAAGAAGAAATGAGAATTACAATTTGATTTCAGTCTATACCTTCTACAATTCTGTTACAACATTTGTATATATCGTCTGATTCATTCTTTATTAAGGAATGGCCTACTATCTTCTTTAATAACCAGTCCAATATCACTCGCTTATTATTCTACTCCACCACAACTAAATAACTTGCCCACTAAAAGATAAAACTAAATAAATTTAACTCATTATAGATAAGGTCCAATTAACGCCAACCTACATATTGAAAAATCCCCAATTCAATTCGAGACACCATGTTTCCCTTCAAAGGCGAATTGCCTTATCAACCGGACGTCTCCTTGGTAGGGATCCTTCTGTCATTCTAATCTCTAGGGGTTCTAACCTCAGTCGCCCCGCATGATACCAAGTCATTTAGACCTTTCGAGTCATGAGGTGTCCTCTAGACTCCAGTATTATCCGTAAGTGGCATCTCATATCATTAGTACTAGTACTAAACCTAAGAGATGGAGGAGCATCCCAGAGTTTATTGCAGAGTGTGAAGCCTTGAAAAATATCCGACGTCGAAATCTTGTCAGAATATGACGAGTTCCTGCAATTTTCAAGGTAACGAACTTCAAGGCTTTGGTTTACTTTTACATTCCTAATGGTAGCCTTGGATGCTCGGGTTGCATCCATTTCAGGAGTCAGGTGAAGCACTAAAAGGGCAAATATCCGATGTCGAAATCTTGTCAGAATATGACGAGTTCCTGCAATTTTCAAGATAACGGCTTCAAGGTTTTAATTTACTTTTACATTCCTAAAGGTAGCCTTGGATGCTCTGGTTGCATCCATTTAAGGAGTCAGGTGATGCACTACAAGGGCAACCTCCTTGAATCTTTTGCCGAGATTGCTCATTGCTATATATATGGACTCTGCATTGAACCATCTTCGTCACCAGATTGAAACACCAATGGTTCACAGGGACTTCCAGCTAAGCAATGTTCTTCTTGACTGGTGGGTTTGCTGCTACAAGTAGCGACCTTATCTTCTCTGTATTTTTTTCCTTTTTCTATTATCTCTATTGGAACAGAAGAAAGTCTCTTCTCCTGCATGCAGCAATTCCATGGTTTGCATTAAAAAGAAAAGTTCTATATACCTAAATGAAAGTTTCTTTTTTGAAGGAATTCTGACTCCAAAAAGAGGATCCTCTCCCTGCTTTTTCCTTATTCCGAAGTTCACAATAACAGTATTGTCACAACGGAGAACATGCATAAATAATAACATTAACTAATGCGATTGAATCCCAAAATCTCCTAGTGATTACGAAGATGCCAAGTAAGCTCCATTAACAACTAAAAAAAAAAAAAAATCTTCCAGCTACAATAAAAAAAAATGTCTACAGAAATAAATTAGTTTGCTCTACAAATCAGTTACAAACTTGTAGATTCGCTGAAAAGATGAATATTGCCCAAAAATCCATCCTTAAATTTCTGATACATTTTTAACACATTTCAAAAACGAGGAATCTCTTGCAGAGGTATATACAGAATAGTTTATTTTTTGGGTGCCAAAAAATTACCCTTCTTTGTGCAAAACAATCCATAGAAAGAATCAAGGAACAAAATGCAAATGATTTCACAGCACCTACAGCAGTGGCAGATGAGGAAATATAGAATCCCTGAGCAGAAGAGAAGGATCTACCTCTGTGCAGAAATAATCAAACAGGAAAAACCTTTCATATCTATGCCAAAAACAAAGCCTCCAGATAATCATCAACATAAGCTAAGCATGGCCAGTAATCAGTTCTAATTCGAACCAAGGTTGAAAGGTCACTTACTTCTATTTGGAAAAGGAGATGGAACCTTGGAGGAAGAAATATCAATACAAGAAAGCAACCCATGTTTCTTTTACTAAAATTTATAGAACTTCCACTCTCATCCTCATCCTCACCATAGGTAAGATGAAGGGGACCTCTTTCTAAACCTGGTGTAACTGAGGTAGAGCTACCAAGCAAAGAATCTGCTGTAGAATCCTTCCATATGATGTCTCTGATTATTCCCCCATCCTTCACCATGTTAACAAGTGGTTCACCAATCACACTAACAACAAAGGGTGCAAGATATTGCTCAGTGGCCCGTATCAGAGAGCCTGCAGGAACTTCAAGCAGCTTGACTGATCGGGTTCCGCTGATTGCTGCCACACCCTTATGCCCCTTTAATTGGAATGTCTCCCGCCCTATGTTGGAAGGAGCACCGCAAGCCTCCCAGAGAGCATTGAATAACTGTGAATAATAAGCAGGTATTGCATCTTCTGCAATGTCAGATGGGACAATAGCCTTGAGAAACATGTCCTCTATACCTACTGTGATACTTTGAAGCTGACCATGGATGATCCGACCATTTTCTGCATTTGCTTCAATGGAAACATCAACTAGACCAGGTGTTGGTTCCTGTGGTTCCAAATCAATTGTTACAGGAGCTCTAAAGCTTTCCTCTTCTCTAGCACCATTTTCTACAGGAACAATGTCTAGTGAAACAGTCTGACTGGAAATATCACCATTCCTGGGAGGTTCACCAAGAAGAAAAGGAATGCGATATGATGGAATAGATCCATATGGTGCTGGGGATGAAAATTTAAGGACAGTTGCATATATGGCAGGAAGGGCATCTTCTCCATCCAACTGACTAGTAGGTGAATTATCTCCCCATATATGATTGAAAGGCTCGGATTCAAATCTCAAATGGCAGGATATTCTAACCTTGAGCCCAGGCATATGCCTAAAATCAGGAATAAATGAGAAATGCCTCCTTAATATTTCTAAGATCTCTGAAATCTTTGAATCCATTACGCGTAATGGCTCTTGAGGCTGATAGATTCTTTCAGTTTCTGGGGCAATCTCCAAATTTTCACTGCCATCCAGATCTCTTAAGTCAACCTGAGGTTCCCTATCCCTTATGCTCTCTAGATAACCAGCTTTGGCACTCCCATCGCCCAAAGGTAACAACGACAAGGACCAGGATTGCTTAACAAGCAATGGTATTATGCGCTCAATGTGAATGTAGGATGAGATGTTCCTAGATTTCTTGAAATGCTGATAATGTTGTCGAGGAGAGTGAACATTGAAGAAAGAACTGGAATGTGAAGATGGAGAAATACCAAGGAGTTGCTCCCCCAGGTTCAGTATGTCTCGAAGCTTCAGTCCTGGTATACAGATCAGCATCCGCAGGTAGATCCTATAAAAAGCCAGGGTCAAAGAAGAAACATCAATGACAGCTGCTTATAATAGGCAATTATCTCCAAGCAGATCCCATATATTTAATTACGCCAAATTTTGTTTGTTTTAAATGGAAGAGTCTGTCAAACTGCAACAACACGAAAAGAAATGGAAAAAATTGATGACAGTGGAATCAAATAAATATCAGAAATGCAAGCAATTTCTCTGGGTCATACCTTGCATTGTCGCGAACCTCCAAATCAGGGAAGTATAGACATGTGAATGCAAGGAGGTGAGATAACCCAAGGAACAATCTAGAGCTATGGTGGTGCATCAGCATAGTTCGACAAATGCCAAGAACTTTACTTCCCAGGGACCAAGATTTGAGCCCTGTATCAGGGCCATGTTTCTCGACAAGAAAAACCATAAACTTGAGAAGGAGGTCTAGCAATCCACCGGGAGGTATTGTCTTGTCTTCTGCTATTCTGTCAAATATTGGCAAGTAAGAAGACAATTTATAGTCTATTTTGACTTTTGGAAGCAAAAACTCATCAACTGTCTGAAGCAAGCGCTCTCCCAGCCAACAATGCTTTTGACAGCCGAGCAAGCGGTCAATGTAAGAAACAATGACAGGGACCAATCTCTGAAACTGCAATGTCAAGTCCACTAGCATCCCCTAAACAAAAGAAGTTGGAAACGTCAAAATTATGAACTTAAAAAAAAAAAAAAAAAAGGCTTGTGATCAAGCCCCGCCCACCCCACTTCTAAAAGAGCACCCCAGAGTGTCGAGAAACCAGACAAAAAAAAAAAAACTCAGTGTTCCTTGTAAATATAGAGAAAAAAGTTTTAAGAGGAAAAAAAAAATTAGGCCCCATCAGTTTCCACATAAAACAAGACCTAGTATATGAATTACTCAAAAAAATTTCAGCAAAGTTCATGCTTCTATTGGGAAACAAAAAGGCATTTAAAATAATTGTAAGAATTAACCGACATCTACATAAATCAACAATCCCTACCCATATTCTTTGGGATGTCATGCTGCTCAGTGCGACAATTTATTCTTGCCCTTAGTTGCATGGTTGAACCTTCAAAAATTGGGGTGGAAATTAAAATACATACCCTTTAAACCCACCCATGTGGCAAAACTCTTGACAGTCATATCCAACACAATAGAATAGGTTGGAAAAAGAAGCTTCTCAAAGCAGGCCACTGAACATGCTTTTTTATGGAAATGAAAATTTAGAATTTATTATAGCAGAGCAATTTAAAGACAAAACTACATAAAAAAAAAAACATTGTGCATTTAGATTTTGTTCCAATGTTTTGTTTCCAAGTGTTCAATAGATAGCATTGCTTAGCAATCACCAATGTAAAACTCTTACAAGCTTTATAGAAATGCTTATCAGTCATTTTTCAAGGGTGGCACTATATTGAAATAGCAGCTCTAACACACCTGCTAGTAAAACATAAACCTAGAAGAACCAGGAGACAGGTCAAAAAAACAAAAAGGGAAGTACATGAGTCCAGCCTTTTGTCCTTAGACATTCAGATGCCATGCTTTCAACAGTGTTTATTCTCAACAACTTTGGCAATTGAATATGGTCTAGCTACATGTAAAAACAACACTCCATAAACATGCCTCTGATAATGCAGTTTCCTACACTCTCCAATCCTCAACTCCATTTAAAACTAGCACATCGAGCAGAAGGCAGAAACATTTTTTGGTCATGTTCCATTGTTTTTCCAAGTCAAACTTCATAAGCTAAGAAATGAAGCAACTCTTTAGCTAATGCCAACAGAACACATACCAAATACAAAGACAACTGGCTTTGTACAATATTTTTGTAATTCCTCTACATCTATCCTGATTAAGTAACAATTAGAACAAAATTTCAGCAAAAAAGAAAAACAAAATAAAGTACCTGTAAAGTATGGAAGATGGTTGAGTCCATGAGTGTTCTAGTGGTGGAAGGATCGCTGTCAGAATGAGATGAGGCACCAATCAAAAACTTATGAAATGCACGGAATGCCACAGCAGTTTCTGTACTCCAAGGAGGCAACCATTTGAAAGCCGAAACAGAAACCAGACCATCTTCAAACAGCTTAGCTGCAGATTTCCCAATACCCACCTCCTCACCAGAATAACTCTCCAGTTTCAACATATCAAGACATATCGAGTAGAAGGCAAGCAAATCAAGCTTCAATGATTTCAAAGCAAGTGAATCAAACACAGCTGGATAAAATCTCAAACCCAACTCAAAAATTGACTTATATTTCCCAACCTCTCCACTGAACATCAATTTACTCAATAACCCCAACAACCAATGAAGAGCAAGTAATCTAAAAACCAAATAATGCTGCGTCTCCTTCGAAATCAACATCAATCGAGTAACAATCTCTCCCTCTTGCCCATCAAAAGCATCCAAAAACTGAAAATACATCATTAAAACAACATGACACAACAAAGGATCAAAGGAATAAATCATCCCAAAAAACTGGACTTTCAACATCGACGCCTGCAGCTCCAAAGCTAGAGCCACGGGCATTACCATCCCTAAAAACTCCATCATCCCACTAGGCGTCAAAACCTGCAGCGACTCTAATAAAAACGCCATCGCTCTCCTCAACTCCTTATAATTCAACCCCACAACCACCTCTTTACTTCCCTCCCCGCCTAACAAAACCCATTGAGGAACACTAAACGGAACCAAAGGAACCGAAGTATTCAATATCGAAACATTCAACTTGGTATTAACAATATTAAAAACAACATTAGTAAACAACAAAAGGTAAGATTGACAAGCATGAGTTCTCTCATTTTGGCACAAACTCCACAAATGTCCAGCCATATTAGACAGCAAACACGGCCAGCATTTCTCCAATTCGCGCAAGCACTCGCACGCAATCGCTCGTGTTTGCCTATCCATACTGTGATTAGGCCTGTTAATAACCAACACTAAAAGCTCAACTAAACCCTCAACGAACCGCGCGTGAAATTTCTCAAGCGCGTTCACAGTTATAAAAATCGAAGTCGTGCTTACCATGAATTGTTCTTTTAAATTATACGTGATGGCTAATCCGTCCAGTGGGGATTGAATAACGGAGCGGAGAGATTCAAGGAGACGGTTGAGGTGCGTTTCGTGAGTGAAAAAAGTTTCGGAGAATTCTTCGAGGAAGAGAAGGAGAGCAAGCTTGGAAGGGAAGTCTTTTTTGAGGAGGGAAGTGAAGGCGTGATCGAGGAGAGATTGGAGTCGGTGTGGTGCGGTCCATTTGTGATGGAGAGGATCGCCTTGTTGGAAATCGTCGAGTAGGGATTCCCAGTCTTGAGGCGAGAGTGGTTTCAACGGCGGAGGTTGTGATGGTTTATCTGGTGGATTCATGGTGGTTTTAAAGAAACCGTAGTGAAGAGTTGTGGTGGTGCTACAATGGAATTAATTAAGTTCTTCTCATCATCTGTGAAATGGTTGGAGAAGACCATGAAATCAAATTACAGTGGGAAGAAGAAGAGAGAAGGATCTGCTCTACTATGGGCCTTTTCAGAAATTGAGATGAAACATGGACCAATACCCAGTGCTCTCTGCAGTGCAAAATCTCACAGACCTTCCATTATTTGCTCATCCATCATTAATTATATTACTTGTCAAACCCAGCCCAAAGTCTGGTGGATCCATGAATTATCCATTTTTTAAGTGAAAAAGCAAGGAAGAAGAAAATATCTAGGTAGGTTTTGACGGATCCAGTCCATAGCTTAGATGGTTCCTCTAGAAACCCTATCTTGTCTAAGTCTCGACTCGTTAACTTTTTGGCTCAGCCCATTGAATTAGGTTAATATTGACGACTACCGAGTTTTAGCTTCTAGGTTAATGTTGTGAAAAATACAAAAGGGTTGGAATGAAAATGATTAGTAATATTGTTAATCCACTTCATTATAATGTTATTCCAAAACCAAACATATTAATAAAAGAGATTAAAACTCTATTTTTTTATTATAAGAAGAAAAATCAATTAAAAAAACATGTATGTAAGTTATTAACTATAATTTAAATTATAGCATAAACGAAAATAAATCACTAAATGATAAAAATAAAAATAAAAACTTGGAAAGTTTTAACTATTAACTCTCAGTGATCTTGCTTATGCAAACACCATTAGTTTTTACTTCAAATTCAAACCTATAAATGCAAATAAAGAGTTTTTTTTAAAAAAAAGTTTCACAAAGCCCTAAAATTCCATAAGGCAATGGTACGAAAATCTAAATTATTTCATTATTAAGTGATGTGGCGTTTGTATAAGAAGAAATTTTCAACTTATAGAATATGAATTTAATCATATTTAGTGATGCAATAATACTAAATTACATAAGAACCTCCCGAAATATTAGTCGGACTAGGATATATATATATATATATTTGGTAATAATTAATTTGACAATCATATCCTATTTTTTGGTAAATAATAGATACCTCCGGTCAATATTTTAGCCTTGATCACACATGATATCACATGCAACACTAAAAAACAACATGTGGCACTAATCCCTTTCCCTCTCCTCCTCCTCCTCCTCCTCTCTCTCCTTCTTAGTTGATGCTTTTAGTCTTTCTCTTTCCTCCTCCTCTCTCTTCTTGGCTTCCTCTTATTCTCTTTCTCTTTTTCTTGATCTTGTTCGGCCCAAAATATATGTCACTTCCTAATTAAGTTGGAGAGCAAAACCAAAGCTTGAACAATACTAAATGATTTTTCTTAATAACAAACCAACTCACAAGAATACATAAGTGACGTCTTTTTTCCTTCTTCTCCTTTCTCTAACAAATCAAAGCACTACATAGATACCAAAATCACATCTAAACCATCATGATCATTGAGGATCTTTGTTAGCTATGGATAGAGGTGGAGGCAAAGGTAGAATTGAGGTGCCATGTTTGATTATAGAGACTTCAGTTGTTGGGGCATAAAGAATTTATTGTGTACCCGGAGACCATGACCCTCATGCCATTGCACAAACCATAAGTTCAACTCTTCTCAAGATGAATTATTGTGGTCCTCTCCCTATTAGTGGCAACCCTAAACGGATCCCGAAAACAATATAGGATAAAGATCATAATATTTATAGAGATGTATATTATATACCAAAAAATAATATAAGGTAGTCAAATTAAACCTTTTTAAGATTATAGGTATATTTCAATTCGATCAATTGTTCATGAGGTTTTCATATAATTTAGCCAATAACAAGAGCAAAGCCCAAAGTAAAAAGAAAAAAAGAAAAAAAAACTAAGATTCCATTATATATCGATATGTTTTGTTAATTGTTAATGCTACAATTGAATAAAAATGCATAACACAAGAAAGGGAGAAAAATAAAATAGCTTAGATGCATGGAAGATGCCTACAAAGTAGAAATGAGTGTTGGTTCACAACCTAAATGAATCATAAAACACAATGTATGAATAATAAATAAGCCAAATTTTTTATTTTTTTTATTTTTTGTTAATAATTATAGAATGTATTGACTAATGAATAACAATAATATGTTTTCATATCATTCGGTAAAATAATTTTAATAAGAAAATAAATATCTCTAGCATTATCCAATTTGATAAGCTTACTCGTACATTATGCTTCTTAAGTGCCTATTTGCCAAACTATGAGCTTTAAGCTTCTTCTTCTTCTTCTTTTAGGCTTTTTTTTAAGTTGTTGAAAAAGGATTTGGTAAAATTTGATAATGCCTACTCATACACCATGCTACTTAAGGCCCAACTATGAGCTTTTAACTTCTCCTTCTTTTTTATGGTTTTCGGGCTTTTTTTTTTTTAAAGTCGTTGAAAAAGAATTTGGTAAAATTCTAAAAATCATTTCAAAATATATTTAAATAAGAAAATCGAAGCTAAAATGAAGATTTCAAACTTTTAAGTTTTACTAGCATAAAAGCATTTTAACGAGCATATATCACTAAACGTATTTTTACGGTTATAATAGTCAAAACTACACTAACGACCACCATAAAAACCATATATTTTTTTAAATGGACCCTACATCTCCTCTTTCTTGCACAAACCCTAGTCGAACTACGTCGAGAAACTTTTTTCCTCTCCTTATTCCATGGCTTCATCCATTTGCAAAAACCCAATTCTTCATCTCTTCATCTTCAAAGCCTTGTTCTTTACAAACATTGCCGCTGCTACCATTACTAAAAAATTCCTATTTTCCTCACTCGTATCACTATTATTGCCGTTGTCTCCGAATCCTTTCCAAATAAAATAGCCAAACTCTTTAAGCAATCAACTCACTTCCCCACCTTCCGCCACTACTATCCCATTCTCGACTACTCCATCCACAAGCTAATACATGCTCAACCCCTTAACCTTATTGACCACCTCATCCGAGCCGGTATAATGACCAGATCACTCTACTAAACAAATTTGATGGTTTTATAATTTACCTCATTATGTTTTACTTTAGAGCCAACATGGTCGATCAAGCCATGAAAACAGCTTGATAATTTCACTAAAAATAGGTGTTTTGATCTTACTAAAAAGTCCCTCCGCGTAGTTATCGGTATGCATCCGGATAATGGGATATTTGATAAAATCCACCAATCGTTTAATGAAATGCCCAAGACACCTTGTAACACTCCCAACCTATGACCTCTTAAGTTAAGAATATTATCGTTGTTAATTTATATTTGAAGTGCAATGAATGCAAACGAATAAGGCATCGTGTCTTTATTATGGTATTCTAGACACAGAATTTTTTATATTAGCAAACGAACAAGTTAAGAATATTATCGTTGTTAATTAGCAACGGAATTCTAATAACAACGGACATGTCCTAAATTTAAGCTCAAAATGCACTATAAATTTTTTATATTTTATCATTTTATTTAAATTATTTAGACCGAAACAATCTGGATTCATGACATTCAATTTCCTTAAATTTCATTTTTATTAGTCCGTATAAATTTATTTAGTTATCATTCGTTACTCGATGATTAATTATTTTATCCTCATTAATTACTCGTTTAATAAGATTATTGCTTTATTAATTTCATTTTTCTTGTTTTATTATTGGTGCTAGCAAGTAAGGAAATAACTTAAAGAAAACCACACTAACTATGATTATACTATTATTTTACTATCTTTATTTCGATTATTATACGTACTATCTTTAATTTACATATATCGATTTTATGTCACATACTACAAAAATAACTTATTTTATACATCATTTTTCTTTTTAACTAACTACTCATTTTTCATAGCTTTGACTAACATATAGAAGAAAGATGTCATACCTAAGAAATAAAATAAAATAAAATACCGAGTATTAAACCACTATAGTATAAGCGATGTCCATCTTCCGACCACATCCAACATACACGCATCGCATGATTCCCTCGGTAGTTAGCTTAAACGTAAACATCATAATATTTACCTATTTTATCTACACCACAAGAGAACATGTGAGCTACAATTCGGTAAGTTAACCTATGCATGTCGTGCATGTAAATGAAATGCATTAAAAATCATTTGCATGTTTGTCATAAAAATCCTTTATCGTGTCATAAAAGCCTCATCATTAACAATTTAAAAATTCTTTTTTGTCTTTGGACATGTCCCATCATAGGCACTTTAGGGTTCTCATGAAATGTCCGACGAATCGGACTAGTATGCGGACACACTTTATTAAGCCTTGGTGCATGTCCGCATCACTTGACCCATGTAAACCATTAACCATGAATAATGAAAGTCATGGAACCCATGAAGCCCTTTCATAAAATCATGAAAACCATTTTTGGGAAAGTCATGTAAACCATATAGCCATAAAATACTTCCAATTGCTATTGAAGAAGCCTTGACATAAAATTCTCTTTTTCATGACTTTAAAACCATTTTCACAAACTTGGCATACATATGCATTTTATTATAGATGCATGATCATTATGATTACATGAAATGCATGCCATGAGTGAGATGTATTTATGCCATGACAATGCATATTTTAACAATATAATTGCATCGTAAACATTGTCTTATCAAATCATTCCAAACCAATTCAAGTCATGAAATCATTAACATAAACATTCCGTGACGTCATAAAGAAAACATTACACCATACAAGTAATACATTACATAATCATCAACCACATCTTCCACACCTAGTAAACACATCACACACATCAATTGGCACCAAAAGATCCAAATTATAATTAAATTAAACAAATCCTAAAATTCCTAACCTAGGCCAAATGGTAACCCTAATTTAATCAAGATATTTTTTTTCAATTTCAACACTAATTTCTTATATAATTTCATTAAATTAAACCTCAACATTAAGAACTAACTCAATTAGGTATTAATTAAGAACTAACTCAATTAGGTAT